TTCTCTCTCTCTTCCTCATCTTTGTCTCATTTGACGCCAGTTATTTGTCAAGAAACCTTCTATCCTCGTTTCGTTTCATCAATATTTAACAAAAGTTAGCAAAAATTTTTCTGACTCATTTGGCATTATTCGTGACCGTTCTTGAATTCCTTTTATAGCTTGGCAGAAAACTTGTAAGTCAACTAAATGAAGTAAACTGTTTCTTTTGTAATATAACAACTTCTTGAATATTTACTGGTGGAATAGTAATTCCACTCATTCGCTATTAAATTCGTCCCTTATTTCCATATGAGATATCTACATATACAACGAGAGCACTTCATAGTATCTTTCCTGTCCTTAACTGCACCATTGTTCATTTTTTTTCAGTGCTAGGAGCAATGCACATTTCAGATTTTGCCATCGATCCAGTTTCACTTGTCCAAGCGTACTGTTCCATATTTTCCGTTTGTGGAAAAGTTGGGAGCTGTACTTTCATAATCTGTTCCATTAATATTTTAATTTAAATCGTCCATACTTCGTTTTCTTCTCTTTAGTGATTACTCTTCATTTCTATACCTGTTACTTTGACACTTCTTTCTTTCTGACTGACATGTTCACTTAATAAGTCTTGATAGTTTCGAACAGTTTCCCTCGTTCCATATTTCACGAAATACTTTCCAAATAAAGGTCTCAGGTGTTTTTCTACTTTTTTTCCCTGCTGATCATTACTATTACATGCTTACCGAAGGAAGTTATATCGCTTAAGATGAATCAATAACTGGCTACATTATGGTCCAGAATGTTCGAAATTTGAATTATATTTCCCGTCAGTTAATGTGATATTAAAACCTGTGATTTAGATAGATAAGACCTACTTCGTAAAATAACGACATTTAGGAAATTGTTATTTGTTGCCAATTACTACTACCGTTAATAAACTTAATCGTGTACTTAATAAATTGAATAACACTACTACTGCTGTTGGCACTAATGTAAGATGAATGATGATGAAACAATACAAACGGATGACATCGATCAATTGGGCGGAGGCTATTGGAACACAAATTTTGAAGTAAATTGTTTTATTCATACACAAAACTTTAAAGCATCTGTAATATTCGTTTATTTGCTTAGTTACTATAAAGGTTAATTTTTATATAAAGATAATTTCTTCCATTCAAATCCTACTTTAAGTTTTCGTAATTTAAGAGAAATCTTTATTAATAGAAATTATATGTAGTTGCAGACTGATTACACCCGACAAAGTAAAAGAAGGCATTTCGGTCTAGAAGTTGGCGATGTTACATTTTATGTTGACCCTATTGAAATGTCTAAGGTAGTGTAAATTTTTTTGCAACTTATTCAAACATTCATGAATTCTACCGATAGGAATAAGAGAGTATTAATGAGATGCTATGAGAGACAAATAATTTTTTTATACTGATACAGAAGTTGGTGCATGTATCAATTTCTTAAATCAACTAATTACAAATTATTTCCAAATCTAGCAGAATCTTCTAAATAAAGCATAAACTACTAAGGAAGAGGACATCAATTTCTGCACATTTCAGAAATCACTCTATTTCGAGCTTCTTACAACCAGTAATCATTTCATGGAAGGGATTCGCGGTAGCAGTCGTTTATACGATAAGAACGATGATATTGCATGCATGTTGAAGTCTACGTGCCCTACAACTTTCAACATATATCCACGAATCATTCGGGGTATCAGTAGTTAAGTTTATTTAAGAAATTATTCAGGAATAGCATGTTCTTCACACAATTCAAAAAATAGAGACAAATTAAATTTAAAAAATGCTATGCTTGATATAGAAGCTTTCGATATGGTTATTGAAATTTTCCCTCTCGAAAAAGAAATTTCTGTGCTACACTAATTAACTGGATTCTCAAGATTTTGCTATTGATTTTTATCCTTGGGATAGGTGCGAGATATTTAGTGCGAAAATGATCATTTTTTTTTTAAAAAAATTAACCCTTTGGAATATGAAATGATGAGGAATAAAAGTAAGTAAATGTGTGAGAAAATGGGAATTCTTGAGGGTGAAAAGACTGATTTATTATTTGGCGGATATTGTGTTCTATCATAAGTATTAATCTTCAGTATTGCTTTAAAAAAAATTATTTTCAGTGCAGTCAATTCCAGCACTTGCTCGTTTGGCCGATAAATACAATCTGAAAATTTTGCAGCTTAATTGCGAGTATTTTGCTCTGAGAGCAAATTTCCAAAAATATGGAAATAATGTCTTGGTTAAATTGCTTCAGACAGCAATTATGTATAATTACGAGTAAGTATACCATTTTGTTCATTGATTTTAATTAATGAGACATAATATCAAGCAAAGTATACGTTGAAAATTGTTATGTCTAGCAGCAGTTTTGTGAAGCATTATACGATTTCCTCATTGATACTAAGCACGATTCACTAGGTTTTTTTTTCGATTAGCATCATAAAACTGATGCAGTATCAGCATAGATATAGCTGATTTCTTAAATCACCTCAATGACTGATGTTCGGTTTCTTTTTTTGGAAACTAATCTTTAACCTTTACATGTTTCTTTCTAAAGCTTCATTTTACTATTTTCTTAGTCCGAAACTTCGAGAAAATCTTATCAAAGAACTAATGAATCGCTCACAATTTCTCAACAATTCAGTGAACAATGAATTGACGAAGGAAATTTGCAGTATCATCGTGTTTGTTGATTCTTTCATTACTTATCTGATAATCTGTCCATTCAATTAAGTCATTTATCTTTTGCTTAAAATCATATTAGCGTAAAGTATAAACAAAGATGTAATTTTTTGTAGTACGAAAAAAAAAAGAATGAACAATGAGATTTTTTAGAAAATATAGTTTAAAACATAATGGTAAGGATACAGTCAAAGGTGTATGTCGTAGTTGTGGACAGCAGAAAACTAGTGATTCCAATGCTGGAAATCGTTGCAGTCTGGTCAGTACTTATTTATTTTTGAAATTGAATTTCCATGGAATCTGCCCATTATTAGCAGCATATACTAAAAGAAAAAAAAGTCGTCAATTGATGAAGATAACGCAATACTTACAAGCCATTCAGTCATTAAATCGTAATCCATAAGTACCATATTCCAATTATTGTCTACAGTAATGAGATTTGAAGAGAACATAATAATTTGCGTCGACTGTTCAATTAGTCAATGTGATTCGATTGAAGTGTTGCAGTGGAAATGTGAACGGTGTAATTGGATGTATTGCTTGGAGTGTAAGTCGATCCCATGCGTTATAGAAGTAGAAGAATATCTTAGGATTGCATTTGAAAAGTATGAAATCGAAGAACTGAGAAAAGAAGCTGAATCTCAGATGACTGAAAAAAGAAGCTGAATTTATAGATCGTGAATAGCAACCGGGATATCTCCGGAGTCACACGAAATACATGAATGATAAATCCGTAGGTTGTCCAACTTCTGAATACTTATTTGGGCTCATTTTGTTTCACTGTAATAATATTTTCTATTATGTTTGTTTACTTAATGTCGAAAATTTCTTTAAGGATTGCACAACAAACAGAACTTCACTTGTTTTATTTCGGTTTATTTTTTTCAAAATATATGCAAATAGAGATTTCAGTTAGAAAATTTTTAAATTTCGAGATAGAATTCTAAAGTCTGAGTATGGTTCTATTTGAAAATTTGAAATTTTGGATTCTCGCCTTAGTTGAGCGACAATTTACTTTGTTTTGAAAATGACTATTCTAGCTACTCAGGCTCATCTTTTTGCTGGAAGTATAAGCAGAAATAATAACTGTGAAAATGAAATTGTTTCAAATATAACTGCATATTTAAAATTATAGCTGTTATGAGATTAATATTGATTGTTATATCATAAGTATTGTTTGATACTAATTGTCCGTTGCTTTTCTTCTCAGAAATATTAAAAAACATTAATGCAGCATTTTTTTTTGCTATATCTAAGCTAATTATTTAATTACACTTATCCATATACATATGTATTTTGTTCTAATAATCTAACTCTTATATTTCGTTGTCTTTTATATTGAATTTATTCTTTTCTATATTCTGTATTGTTTCTATTATTTAATTCACTATCATTATTACCTTTCTTCATCTTTTCTCACTGCAGACTTCATTATAGCACTAATCACGGTGACATGCTACCTGATAAATTGTCAGTGGTTGTAAAACAAAAGTATCATCTCTGATGCAGCATTTCCTTCCGTTTATATATATATATATTATTAACCTTCCGTATCAAAGAAGAAAGGAAGGGATCCGGTAAAGTTCCGTGATGATTTGGTAGTACTTCAAGTAGCAGTCTTTCGAAAATTTATTCCACATTTGTTACACGTCTGATGTCTTATCATGTAATATCGCTAGTACCTTACCGGATGAGACTCAAATTTGCATTATTCTTCAATGCTCCTGTCAGGGACCAAAGGGATGTGGTGGTGGTCCTTGTGTTACCTACCTGTTTCAAAGGTATTGCTCCTCTTTATTTTTGGGGATTCCTATAAGACCTATGGCGTATATGGCGGATACCTCTGAGCATTCCTCACCGAGAGAGTAAGGGTCGAAATTTCTGGGACAGTGGAAAGTTTTATCACTTCTTGTCAAAGCCAAAAACATGTGATCCAAGAAATATTCCATTTCTAAGTATCAGGTGAAATCCCCACTGGAGATAGAGAAGGACAGATATTCATGTCATTTCTTTTGAGCTGTTAAAGATATCTAAAGCATTCTCCATCCAAATCCCCTTTCCAGGGTTGATTGTCGCTGTATTTGATGGTTATTAAATAATTTTGCGTTTGTGGCAGATCAAAGCTAGTTAACCTACGAATACTGATGTTACCCGATAGTCGTACACTTGAATGACTTTTACTCTAATTAGTTGCACAAGGCAGGTGTTCTGTAGAAATGTTGGAAATTTAGGAGATATAATTTCCTTGGAATATTGCTGATCTGATTGTCTGGAAAATCGAAGTGCTTTCATATCAGGATTAAGGCTATGTCAGACGAAATCCGAGGATGGTTATATGGTTGGCTTGGAAAAAGAAAACTCGGCACACCATCCTATAGCACTACTCCTTTGGCGAACTGTGGTGGAAGAATACGTTTCCGATGCGAACTACGTATACCAGGTTTTACGTATTTATTTCCCATAATTTTTGCTTCTACTGGTGTTATTGACATACGTATTAATGCAGCATGGAGTAAAACAAGTGTTCATGGAAAAATTATTATCTGTATGTAAGGTGTTCATTTAATGTTTAGGGAAAAATCATTAATGGAAATTTTCAGGACAGCACTATGTGGGATTAGGAATCTCGGTCAATAAGAAGGATGCTGCTACTAACGCTGCTAGAGATTTTGCACATTTTCTAATTCGACAAAAGTTGCTGGATCCGACAGAACTTCCGAAGCTTACCGTATTTTTTATTTACACTTATGTCCGGTATTGGATTAAGTATCATGGGCATTTGTGCATATCAATGCAGTACTAAGTGTTGTTCAATTTGATACGCTGTTTATGTGTATCAAAGCAAATACTTCACACTGAAGTATTTGTTTAACATTTCTTGACTTCTGTGATACTTTTGTATTTTTCATTTACACTAAAAATTATATTTTAATGCTTAGAAACACTACTGTTCATAAATTCATAACAAATCACGTCATTAGTAGTTCATTAGTCGTTTCATTGAGTATTCGTTTCTTTTCTCCATCCTTCTTGCATTTGCATAAGTGTGTCATTTTGGGCATCCATGCTGGAGGCAACAAATCTGGATTCATTTGGCCGGGACAGTGTGGAAGATGTCATTTTGCTGAACAAAGCAGAAGAAAATAGCTACACAACAACTAACGTTTCAATGAATATGCAGTTTATCCCGTCATCGAGGATTAAAACAGGACATCAACGTTATATTGAGCAAAAAGCAGAAGAAATTGCGCTCGTTAGTTCTCTTTGATTGTCCTTTTTTTGACGATTTCGGAAAAAACTAACTTTTATCAAATGGGAAAAGTTTTTTTTTTTTGTCAGTGTAATGTTTTTCTTCGATGATTGGAATCATCAACAGCAAACGTTCGGTCTATTATTTAGTTTTGAAAGTTATTAACTCTTCCCTTTTTTCTATTCTCAAGTGCTTACGCATGGTGAATTAAAAAGAATCCATTAATATATCATACAGATTTCATTACAAAAGATGTTACTTTAAGTCCTGAAGTAGTATTTTTGCTTTAAATTCAGGTTTTAGGTGTTATCTGAGTGTTTTGTCCATGGACAATACAAAAGCAAATAGCTGATAAACTTATCTCTATTGGCCATAAATTTTATTCTGTTCAACCAGAAAAGATGTCAGAAAATTATTTTTAGTCAGAATCGGTCGATTTGCGGACACATATACATGGAGGATGGACGGCTGACAATAGTAAAATGCATTTAAATGAATTTGTGCAGAAAATTAAGCAGCCACCATTAAGATATGATATTCGTAGTATTGGCACTGATAACTCCAGGTTACATTTTTGTGTTGAAAGCTAGGTTCTATATATTTAGTTGAAGTTAGTAGCATTTGGAATGTTGGAGTTGTTTTTAACCTTATTACTTAGTTGCTTATGGCTGGGAAAGAATATTGGCAAAAGCAAATTTTGAATATTTTTTGACCTAACTAGACATTCGCACTCAAATTTTATTTGGAATCTACTTTCGTTCAAAATATAATTTCACAATTTTGCCTTTTGCTTTGATTCCGGTTTTCGTAGTTCTTTATGAAGCACTTACTTGTTTCTGCACATTTGTTAATGGGTCTGAAAGATTGAATTTGAAAAAAATAAAAAAGGTGCAAAATACAGGGACCCTTCCATGTTCGGTCAGTTCAGCTAAGCTGTAAGTCATGTATCTTTTATTGATTTGGCATCAAAATCAATTAAAAGGATAAAAAAGTAAGGTGAACTGTTCACTTGCATTTCAAGCATCACTGTTTCAGAACTTTTGTTGCCGAAGTGTCACTTTTCGTCCCGAAAGTACAGTGCAGTAAGTATTAATTAATTTTAGCTCATAATTTTTAAATGGATATGCGTGCTGCGGTACACTTTTTTTTTGCTAAAGCACCATCAATGCAAACAATTTTAGCAGAAGCGCATTTTGACAAAGTAACAAAGAGAAGAGATTACAAACTAATAGTTTTCTAGAAAAAAATTTTTTTTAAGTAGTCGGAAAAGGGAAAGAGAAACAGTGCTAGAACTTTATAGAAATGATATTTTTTGTCACTGTTGCGTCTTTCAGAGATGCGCTTTTTTATAAAATTGAATTCACCTTCTATATTTTTCCGTGGGGATCCAGCTGTTACTGTTTTCATTGAAAAAACAGAGAATTTATAGAATGTAAATTCATGATGTATATGTCATGTTGTGGTGTATCATGATTTTCAAAGTAGATTTAGCAAATTAGATGGGAAGAAACGTGATAGTGGTTTATGGAACCCGTGCTTTTTTCTACGCTTTTATTTCTAAACCTTTTGGCACTAAACCAGTAGGAAACATTAATTCAGGTAGTAGGAAAAACGATCATTGCACAGTTTTTTTTCAATATTACTTTTTCTATTATGTCCTGAGTAACGAATTATTCGAAAAATGTTGTGTTCAAAATTCACTGTTTGTTAAGAGAACTTAATTTCTCTGTTCTTCAGCGTTTTCGGCAAGAGCAGAAGGATCAACGAAGAAAACTGCCGAAGCAACATGTGCACTTTCTCTGATGCGTCAGTTGTTTCATAATCAGTTAGTTGGTGCTTACACTGGTCAGAAAAAAAAAAAGACAGCGGGAAATGTAGGTTTAAATAAATTTATTTGTTCAGTTACTTTTTTTGCACCAAAGAAGCGATTCTCACCTACACTTGGCATGAAACGAGATGGGAATTCCGTCCAACTATTTCAGAGTAAAAGTTGATCAAGAAATACTTGCAATCTATGGATCTTTATTATTGAACATTCCTTTTTAAAACTTATAAGCTGTTAGTCTTCATGTTTATTTTCAGCTAGCAGACATCCCTGTCATTGTAAGTGACGAGCTTTCTAAGGAAATAGCTCATTATCTTACCTTGGTTGGTGTTGATGAAGTGCAGCCCTCACCAGAAGCTTCATCTTCCAATCCGGTTTCATTATTGATTACTCAAAAATTGAATCATTTTGAGCCGTCACAACCCATCTCAGATGGTTTGGTATCGTGGAGTCCAGCACTGGAAAATTGGAATCCATGGAAGTCACTGAATATTGATGAAGCACCACTTGCTTTTGTATGTTCTTTTTGAACAGCATTTGATGAAAAATTTCTTACTGTCCCATTTATAGTGACTGCTGTAGATACTGGGAAATCCATTGAATTATTCAAGATTAAAGGCATTACGTCGAACATGTTTATTTTACAGCTTGATTAATAGGCTCAAAATATGTAGCATCTGGATGATAATACATAGTATGTATATTATTTCTGTACTTTATCCTTTATATTTATCAAACAGTTCTCCATGCTTGTCAGACGAGTTTTCATGCACTCGTCTTTACGTCTTTCCTGTCTATATAGCTTATGACAACCGTTTATTTGTTTTATTTTATTTTTTTTAGAGTTTTCAGATGTCTCTTGAGGCAATAAGTGCTGACTTATTAGAAAGAGAAAAAAAGCGGGTGATACCATCAAGTATAAAGACTCAACGAGAATTGTTACCAGTGTACCAGTACCGCGATCAGTTGATTGATACGATTAGAAATAATTCAGTTACAATTGTGAAAGGTGAAACGGGTTGCGGAAAGTCTACTCAGGTTGCTATTCCTCTGTGTTTAACCGACAGAGTAAATTGCTGTTTATTATTAACATCAGGGTTTAATTTACTATTTTAAAAGCAAGGTTTTACATAGCGATAGTTTTTGTACAAAACTCAGGAAACCCTATTGTGATTCCGGAACTTGGAAATCATCTGATAACTTCATTGATAAGGTCAAACATGTTTGCTACTACTGCTTGTTATTCATCCTTACACAATAATGTTTTTTATTTTTTTCGTTCCACGTTGTTCAGAAGTGTTTCCACTTGATTTGAATTGAAATTTTTAAACATTTTAGGTTTGCCAGTATCTTTTAGAACACTATATAAACAATTGTCATGGTGCCGAATTCGCTGCTTTTGTTACACAACCACGGAAAATCAGCGCTATAGCGTTAGCTGAGCGAATTGCTGATGAACGTGGTGAGCAACTAGGAGTGTCAGTTGGATACGCTGTTAGGTGCTTTTAGAGAATTTCTTGTGACCGTTACAAATAGTAAGATAATTTATGAAAGCTTTGTTAAAATGTATTGGTATTTTCTAAAAGAGAAAAAGTGGAGCTTATATTCTAGTAAAAGTCTTGCAAATACGTGATAATTTAATTTTGATATTCTACTATACCATATTGTCAATTTATATATGTAGACTTAATAAGCTTATAAGTTTTATCATTTTGTTACCACCTAAGATGCCATCAGCATACCTTTATCAATAATTTATTATTCGTTAACAAGAATGAGAAGCTACAAAAAGTGTTATATGCTAGACATGTCTTGCAGGTTTGATTCACTTCATCCTCGACCATATGGATCGTTGATGCTTGTTACTGTTGGTATGCTGCTAAAAAGATTAGAATTAGGCTTGCGTGGAATAAGCCATATTATTGTTGATGAAATTCACGAGCGAGATATCAATGTAATATTCTGATATTCTAAAATTTTATCCATTTGGCATCTCTCGTTAACTTGTAATACATAATGCTTGATTGAAACGTTTTTCTTTCTGGCCAGCTGACCATGCAGCTTATTAAACTTTATTCTGGATGCTTCTTCGCTTCTAATTTTGTTAGCTTATCTCTCTCCTCTCATGCGCAACCTAAATCACAAAATGTTCTGAACAAATTCCATAAAGGAAGAATTATACTAGAAAACATTGTACCACAAAGTTTAATAATTTTAATTCAGTTGCCAAATTAAAATTTGAAGGGTTAGTGTTCCATCTTTTCATCCCATGAACACTTAAAAGAAAACGATGGATAAAGTTGAAAAGTAGTAAACAATTTATTTTCTATACTTGCAATTTTTCTTCTGTTATCCACCCAAGGGGTATCCTTTCCTCAGTTAGTTTTCATTTTATATTTTCTGTAAGATTTTTTCTCTAACCGTTTAAGCTTGCTAATTTTTAGACAGACTTCATCATGATTGTCTTACGCGATATGGTAAATATGTATCCTAATTTGAGGATTATTTTAATGTCTGCAACGGTCGATACGAATCTTTTCACTAATTATTTTGGCGACTGCTCAGTGATCCTTCTGAAAGGGCGAAATTTTCCCGTCCAATGTATGTTAAAGTTTCGCTAAAAAATCGGGACCATTATAGAAAAATGTGAGAACTTCCATTAAGGAATTTCTTGGTTGACAAATAACTGGATTATCCAACGTGAATATCCCTCAATTAGTTCCTCTAGCTCTGATTGTTGTCAGTACGTTAGTCCTGACATAGCATTTAAGGTAAAAGAGTAATGTTGGTTATATGTACATATATAATTTGACATGTCTGTTAATCTTCTCTTTAGACTATTTCTTGGAAGATATTGTACAGATGATTCGTTTTTCGCTGTCAACTGATAAACTAAAAAGAGAAAAAAAAAGTGGTCGTGATGATGAAGGAGGTGAAGTTACGGAAGAGGTGTTGTTTTCTTTAAAAGTTTTAACATGTTTCAGTTTACTAAACTTTGAATATATTGAATAGTTAGAATTTTCAGACACAAAATCTGAATTTGGGTGTTAGTGAAGAATATGGTTTGAACACAAAACTTGCCATGAATCAACTTTCAGAAAGGGAAATATCGTTCGAACTTATTGAGGTTGTCCCGGATTATTAGATTCCTTTTTTATTTTTTTCATCTAGAAATCCATGGTGCTGCCAGTGATATCTAAGATAGATCAATTAAATTTATCATAAATGTCGCTATGTAATATCTTTTGAGCGATTTGGACCTTTTATTTTTCATCCCATTACGCAGTTCCGTTTTTGGTTTGTGATGTCATTGAAGTTAAAAAACTAAATTCAGGAGTCGATTTTAAAGAAAAAAAAAAAAAAAACGATTAACAGTAAAGTCAGGTGATGGTAATAAGTCAGATATTGTTGATGTGAAATGATACTTTTGCAGTTGAGAAACTGGATTGTTTATTTCATTATCTTTAGAATTTGTTGAATTTGTACGAACTGCAGGCTCTTTTGAATGACATCGTAAACAAGGGTGAAGAGGGTGCAGTCCTCATTTTCTTACCAGGATGGAATGTCATTCAACTTTTGCTCAATTTTTTGAAATCACATCCTGTGTTCAGTAATGAGTCACTATTTGTTATCCTTCCACTTCATTCACAGCTGACTGGCCAGGAACAACGTAGAGTTTTTGAACGTCATTCACCCGGTGTTAGAAAAGTTGGTTTATTTTTTTTTAACAACTGAAATTTATTATATGTAAAAAGTTTACAGCACTTTTAGGATTAGTGAGACTAAAAGAAGTATTTTTCTGAAAAGTTGTCTTAAATTGTTCCAGCGTAGATGCGGACTAATTTCTGATTTCATTTCATAATAACAGAATTTGTATGTTAGCAAGACTAATCTGTTTTTTTTTTTTTTTTTTTCAGATTATCCTGTCAACGAATATTGCGGAGACCAGTATTACCATAGACGATGTTGTTTATGTAATCGATAGCTGCAAGTGAATTTTAATGCTAATAAAAATTTGCTAACCTTACAGGATTCGTAAAGTTATTGCACTCCTTTTTTTTTCTAAAGGAAAAGAAAAATGGACTCTTCAAAATTTCAAGCGACTTTTTCAGATGATTTTTTTTTTTTGGCTTTATTTTTTAATGCTAAAAAATAATAATGTTTTGGGGTCCCACAAAGCCTGGAAATTTTTTCAGGGTTAGAGAGAAAATGTACACTTCATACAATAATATGGTTCACTATGCAACAGTTTGGGCATCTCGTACCAGTATTGTACAGCGCAGAGGACGGGCTGGACGTACCCGTGAGGGCTTCTGTTTCCATTTATGCTCCAAAAGTCGATATGAAGCGTTTGTTATTATCTTTCATTTGTCATTTTTACTTCTCGTTCAGATTCCTAAATTTTAATATTACTTTGAATTATGAAAAGCTTATTTTGCTTGCTTGACAGTGTGTATATTCAGCTTTTCTAAAATCTATCTTACTTTTACTTTTTGCAGTAAATGACAAATCTGTAAGGTTCATGATTACTGCTTCATTTTTTAAAATGGCTTCTCTTCCACACTCTGAGTACACGTCTGCTTCTTCCTTCTTTTCTTTTTCTTTTTTTTCCAAATATTACCATCACTCCATTCAGGGTAAATAAACAAAAGCTCTATAGACTGTTGGTAAACATATAGACTGTTATTGATTTGTTTTAATAAACAAAAGCTCTATAGACTGTTATTGATTTGTTTTAAGTGGTTTTAAACTTAAAGGTTAGAAGAATATCGCACAGCGGAAATGCTGAGAATTCCACTGCATGAAATTGCGCTAATGGTTAAATTAATTGGATTAGGCTCAATTGGTGATTTTTTGGCCAAGGCAATCGAACCACCACCAATCGATTCTATTATTGAGGCTGAAGTACTCCTTCGGGGTTGGTTATTTCAACAACAAGGTTTAAATCAATGTTATAATATGGATTTGCTACGACTTACAAGACGAATTAGTTCGGAAAGTTCCTTTATGAAAGTAAATCAATATTTGTTGTGATTGTTAACCTTATTAGTGAACAAAAAATGATTCTTTAAGTAGTTTTGGCTTCCTTAATATTTGAAGTATACACTGTTCTAGTTGCGACCTTTTCTTTCCTATTTATTTATTATATGAAACATTTTTTTTTTTTTTTGTAGATATGTCAGCTTTGGATTCAAACAGTGAATTAACGGAACTCGGTCGCATTTTAGCCCGACTTCCCATTGAACCGGTACTTGGAAAAACTCTCATTCTTGCTACTGCATGCGGGTTTGTTCCCAGATTAGCTGCACCACTTATTTCTTTTTGACAGATTAAAGAAAATAAGGAAGAAAATAATGATGCATCTTAATACCAGTATTGTAAATTGATATTTGTTCTTTATCATAGCGGTTGGAACATTCCTGCTTTACAAACTGTTAAATAATTTTTTAATATGTGTTTTTGTTCGTCGTAATGGACTCATTTAAAGACATCCACTTTTTTTTCTAATTTCTCGAAATTGCAGTATTGGGGAATTATTAGCAACAATATCTGCTGCATCATCATTTGCGACACCATATATACCGCGTGACCGAACGACTTCTAAACTGTCTTTCCAACAGCGTTCGTTTTCTGGCAACCGCTTTTCAGATCATATTGCGCTTATATGTGTTTACAATAGGTGGTGTGAAGCATATGATCAAGATACAATAGCAGAGAAAGATTTTTGCGAACGGTTTTCCTTGAATTCTACAGTATTGCGAATGATTAGGTATCTTTGTTAAAGTAAAGCAACCGGAACAAGTTGTATATTTCATAGAAATTGTAACTCTTTAGAAATTTTATGATTTTTACGTGTACGAAACAACTGATTGCAATTGTATCTTTTTTAGGATTGCCAAGCGACAGCTGACTGATACACTGATCTCATGTGGTTTTTCTGAATCACTGTTCATTCCATTAGCTGTATCCAACAGAGAACCTGATTCAAATCTCGATCTTATACTTTCGTTATTGGTTTATGGTAATGATTAAGTTATGTTTTTTTAAGTGGGCTTAAATTTATATCATTCACTAGGACCATTTAAGCATTTCTATCTGACACAATTTAAATAACATCACTTTTGACCACTTCGTGTATCTTAATATAATCTCTACCAAAGAGAAATTTTTTGTCATGTAGCTCATAGTTTTGTAAGGCAAGAAACAAAGATTTTTGAATCAAAATTTTTGTAAAATTTTTACTGAGAGATGCAAAGAAAAGCTTAGTCATGAAAAATACATTATAATACGGTTAGTACTATTTAGGAATTCAACATATGGTGCATATACAGATCTTCATGAAATTCATTTGCAGTTTTTATAAAGCGAAAAAAACAAAACAAGCGAATGCTTTTAATGGACTGAAACTCAAATTTTGAAACTAAGTTGAACTCAGTTTGCGTTTCATTCTCCATGGAGAAGCAATTATATAAATCTACAATCAATGAGTTTTAGCTCTATATCCAAATGTTTGTCACTACCGCGATAAACGACGTGTTTATACACTGGAGCAGGCAACAGCTTTGATGAGCAAGCAATCTGTGAACACGCCTTTTCATAGTTCGGATATTATTAAATTCCCATCTCCTTTGTTTGTTTTTTCGGAAAAAGTTAGCGTTTTGGTCTTTTTTAAAAAGCTAGAATAAATTTTTTTAGGAGCAAGAAAAACATTTTCCTAAATATAGATTTTTTCTTTAGAAGAAGTAATTTCCACAGACACTGGCTTGAAAATTACTTTATAATGTGGATGAATGAGAGTGGCTTTTTCAGCTTCGTACTGAAATAATATCATGTAAACAAATTTCGAACATAACACCCCTTCAGTTACTTCTTTTTGGAAGCCGCAAGGTGGAGTATCATGGTAATAATATTATCAAATTAGATGACATGTAAGTTTTAATGTCTCTTGGCTTTTTGTATAATTTAGGTATCTTTATATTATATAAAATTTATATTAGGCTTGTTTTTTGGTTTATTTATCCATTTCTTCTGTTTTTTCAGGATCCCCTTGAAAATGAATGTGCAAGCTGCAGCTCGAATTGTAGCTTTGCGGCCATGCATCGAAGCACTTATTGTACGAAGTTGTTTGAATCCAGAAACTACGAATAAAGTTGATGAAAATGATAATAAGCTACTTAAGATCCTAAAGCAATTGTCTTCACCTTTTGGTTGGTCACCAAATGAAAAGGTTGCTGGAACACAACAGCAAGAGTATGCTTACGTTGAAGGAATTTCTCGCTCGAGCTACATTAAAGGGTAATTTTGAGCTAATTTAGAGGTACATTAACATAAAACATAGATTTGTAAAAAGACAGGAACTTTGTTTTCCGGAGACTTCTGAATAAACCATTTATGCAGCTGATTTTTTATTTTTCACGCCATCTAAATTAATACATAGGGGTCACAAGTAGTAAGTCCTGGGTTTTTATCATCAGTTAGAACCTTCTTTCATAATAAATGTAAACTTTTAATCTAGTACCTTAAGTCAAATATTTCCATTAAGTATAAGGTTTTAATTTCATGAAATAATGTGGTTTTTAAACCGCTATTTCTTGCTTTCCTTATTTGTTGTGTTCATCTTTTGTGTAAATTTATTCCTTCTGCGGAGATTCAAGCATAATTTGATTTTATTTTAGCTTTCGAAGTAGTGCTAATGGCATGAAATTGAACACAAGAGAAAATAGAGGAAGTGCAAATGGAGGACGAGGAAGAACTAGTCCAACGGGTGCTTTTGGAAATAATGGAACAAGATATTATAGTTATGAGGGAGCACTGAAAACTGTTGTTCGCGGTTTTGATTATTCTCCATCTAAGAGCTGGTCTCAAGAAACTTATGTAAGGCGGCCTCATAGTCGTGCTGGTTACAGCAACATTAATAATAGAGAAGGTTTTAGAAATAATTTTGGTAGGCGTGGTAGAAGTAATAGGGGTCTCCATCCATCTAGTTTTTTCCAAAACAAGACTTTCCATCCCTGTATGAGCGACAGCGTTATGCGAACTTGTGGCAGAGGTACACCGTCAGATTATGCTGGTAAGTTTTTGGACAGTCGGAATTTAATTCTGTAAATTTGGAATATAATTTACATAGATCTGACATTTTTGATCTAGTTAGGTTTGATTATAACAGTGCGTGTACTTTGGAACAGTAGTGATTTCAGAAATAACAGTCTGCTTATATTACAGTACAAGGTAAATATTATGCAAAATGATTATTCAAGTGGTTTTGTTGATGAATAATTAGCTTAACTGAACAAGTAATAAACTGCTGTATTATTTGTAAATCTGAATGCCAGTATGCAAATAATGTAATCAAATTAAATTTTTTACCTGTCATCAGGATTGTAAATCATTCAGTATTGCTAGTTTCTTGGTTACTGTTGTCCATTTTATGCCGAATTATTGCATCATTTGTTCACTTGCAATGTTTATTCGTCGGAAATCGAAACGTAAGAATAGCAAATGTATATGATATTCAAAATTATAGAATATAGTCGTAAGGGAAGTGGCACGATTGGTTTGGCAGCAAACTGGGATATTGCACCTACGAAACGTGCTCGGACTAGTTCTGGAACAGTACCGTCATATTCAGCTAATGAATTAGTATCGCAGTCCATGTTTGGTACAGCAGTACAGCAGTCCGCTGGCAATGGTCGAGGACGCGTTGATTCTTTGGATGATATTGATGAGAAATTTAAACGTTGGTGGAGAAATGTTGATGACATCGACGAGTATGGGAACTTTTAAGGTGCACTGTGTTTCATACAGCATATTAATATTTGCTCATGTTTTATATACCTAAAATTTAAGATTTTGTGCATTGTTTGAAATGTTCTCGGTAAAAGTCATGTGAAAATTGTTAAAATGTCATTTAACATTAGTTGTGCATTCCTATGCAATAAAAAGAAGTATAGTTTTATTCTATTTTTCCTTTTTCATAAAATATATTGTTTGTTATACCACTAAACCTAGTTGAATACTGGCGTATTGAAACTATCGCTAATTTCTTAGAAATTAGCGATAGTTCGATCTAGCGGGAGTGGGCTAAATATGTTACAGAAACTGTATGCAAACCAATTAAAACTAGCCATTTTAAATGTTGAAATTTCTAGGGAAGGTGAAAGTAAAACTTATCAAAGCCTTATATCTGCAGCTCCGTTCATGCTTTTGTTTGGTGTCAGTACAGATCTCCATTCAGAAACTAGGACATCAGATATCAGATCCTCCTATCGTAGTCTTTATTTGATTTCTGACGTTGTGTTATTCTGTTGTCGTTTTATAGCCATTGTGTTTACTTTGAAATTTGATCTAGCTGTTAAGGAATTTTCGTTCGGAAGAAAAACACTTTTTCTACTACAACACTTGCCATATTTTTTGTGTTTTTGATGATCGCTCGGAAAAGGATTTGTGCAGATAAAAGTGAAGTTCTCCAAGGAAAATCTCGTAGAATTTTTTATTTTTAAATATTGAGCTAATTCACTACCCATTCCCAATTTGTAGTCATTTTAGTTATGTTTTCAGATGTTTTGAATTTTGCATATTTCATCGCCGAACATCTGGATCAATATTACATGACTAAGAATGGTAACTGGATAGCCTTTCTAATTACGTCACACCAAGATTTTTCAAGTAATGACAAGGGTATCTGGGACTTGCAGAACTTTTGAAATTATCTACTGAGCTCTGGTGATTGTTTCGAGGATTTGTTAGAGTACAAAGACAACCAATTTTAATTCCCTCAATATATTTGGAACTGGAAGAGTGTACTGCACGGTTCCTTCGTCTCAGTTAAGATCAGAAATCAGAAGAAATTTACATCCAAAATTCATTATTTTGCATGCATCCATCTACCGCTCTTCATTATAAAAGAATGTTTTACTATTTGTGAAATGGTTCATAATAAATTAGCATGAAGCTATTGCCTTTACTAATAATTGATCTGGTTGTGATAATCGGTGTTAAGACTGATATTGAGAATAAGGTCTGAGGATTGGTGGATGCTGTTTATCCAAAGGTATTTAATGGTTTCATTATTTGCTTGGAGGTATATCATTTTCTGTCTTTTCAAGATAGATGAAGCAAATATAATAATTTGCGTGGTGAAAATAAAATGATTTGGTGCGCTCAAAAATTTGGTAGTAGATTCTTCGCACAAATCTCGAGAATGTGATATTAGATTCGGATTTCATACAGATTCTAAAATAATTTTTTCTTCAAAAAAGGATGGAGGAAGGACTTCCTGTAAATTGCAAGCTCCCAAAAATCTATCTAAATTAAATCTTAATTTTTGGTTGATGCGTAGCACTCGTAATTAGTATATCATTTCCTCATCCAGGCTTTTTTTCTAAACATCGATGCATGTTGTAAAAAAAAAGAAACTATCACTTTGCAGTTAACCCATTCGCTCATTCTTCGGTGTTGGTATAATGAATGTAAATTTCCCAGTTTCTGATATGGATTTTAGATGGAGTATCTGCCAAAATGTAGACCAGATATTGAAATTAATTTGGCATTTTAAACGACTGGTTGTTCACAAGAATGTTGTTCTTTGTGGTGAATCTAAATTCTTCCAGTATAAAAGATTGCTGAGGAATAATTTGGTTTAAACTTTCACATTTTCTGAAATCTCATAATTTTTTTCTTTTAATATCCATGCAATTTAGTGAAATTACAAATTTGTTAATGGTAGGGTGAATGATGTTGAAAGAACAAGTCAGCATTAGCGCGATGTAACTTTGTTTTTTTCCTTTTTTTAAATTAATATTAATATATATTAAATTAATATGTTGGCCTGAGTAATAAATTTTCAGGAAATTGCAGCAAAAATATGCCATCAGCTAAATATCCACAATGGTGTCATTGAGCATTTTGGTACAAATTATTCCAGAGTTTATTGCATTTGGCCAAAAATATTCCCTGAAATGAATTACTGTATTGCTGGTTCCAACCCTTCATTAGGACGGGTCGATTTTTTGGATAAGTGTTCTGAAATTGAAGTGCTGGAAAAACTTAAGCAGGAACTTCTGAAGCGTTCAGTAGAAATAATTTTTAAGAATAATGACAAAGTTAATACTTGAAATTTTAGAGCTTTGCAGTTTTCGTTTACCTTTCTAACAATGTTCGCTATTTCCATCAGTGTTACTGATTCGGAATGATTTTTAATGGTAGATTAATAATATGCAGTTATTTCATCTTTTCGAATTTAAAAAGTGAAATTTGATTGGAAGGAGGTTGAAGATAAAAAAAGGGACTTGATATCACTTGGAGTATTACCTTACTCCTCCAAGTGCTGTTAAGATATGAGAAGATATTCAGGTACTCATTTTCCTTGTTTACTGCAGAAAATCAAGCGATACTTGATGATAGTAAAATTGAAATTGGCAGCCACTTATTTAGCGAACTGATTAGTCAGATTTGCGTAGTTCACGAGACATTAATATAGAAGGAGAGAGATGTAACTTTTTCCTTCTAACTGACACTTTCGACTTTATTTCAGTACCATGAAATTGAATTATTTTTAACAAATTTAGTAAGCGATAGAGAAGCGATGTTTTTGCAATCAAATTACCAGAGGCAAAAGAAGGAAAATAAATGTCATGGAGATTGATTGTGATATTCATTACCTTTACTCTAATCCTATGAATCTATTCTACTGCCATATCATTTTTCATACCTATCAGTAAATCCCATAATAAGTTTTATGTTTATTTCCCAAAGAATTGACGTAAATTTGATTATAAAACTAGTTGAATTTTCTGAAATTAACAGATGTCTTTCAAGGAAGGAACAACTGTTACTTATTCTTAATTGGTTATTAGGTCATCTGCGAATGAATGTTACTGCTTAGAGCCTTTTTTTAATTAAATATAACAATTTTATCACCTACATCTTTGAATGATTTTCGATTTAAACAGGTTGCAGCATATTTGTAAATAGATAAACAGCTATTACTTGTCCTGTATGTGTGGTAATTTCCTAAAGTATTGAAGATTGAAAGGAAGAACGAATTTATGGTTGCAAGTCTAACAAACTTAGAAAATGATATTTTTTTTATTTTTGGGGTTTCGAAAGTGCAGTAATTTTTTGAGGAACAACGAAATCTTCGCGTATAGGAACTGCTTAATTGAATATTTTTGAATTCCAATTTTTAGTGTCTGGTCTTGTCTATGAAGTCTATTTGATGTATTAGACAAACTGATCATATCTTTTCATTTCTTTTTTTGAAATATAGCTTTGTGAATTTACAACCGTAATAGTTGTTAAAACTATGCTAATCATCCGGGTATCACGATTCTTATCACTAACTGCTTGCCTCATTTTGTTAAGCATTGACTGAAGACTGAGACTACGGCATAATTCCACTAGTCCATTATCACTAGTTAAACTTGTTCAAATGGTAAGCTTGAGAGTAAATAAGTAAAGAGTTTATTTATCATGTCCTATAATTTAAATATTAATAGTGATGGAGTGAACGAATTAGCTGATTTAAAATAATTTATATGGGATTTCGGAGAAAGCTTAAATTTGAAATTGATAAATTCGTCAACTTATGTTGGATCACAGTTTAATGTGACATTGCTAATGACCAGGAGGAAGATGGACATTTGCTTGGCATTTATAATATTTTAAAGTTTGACAGAAATGTAGAAATTGATCTGAAGTGAAGCGGAAGGAATGTGATCATTTAACAGCTATCTTGCAATTTCTCTTTGCATTTGCTAAAGCCATGAATAAGCATCAGTTCTGTGAAGAAGAATCAATTCTGTCATTCTCTCCTGAATTGCACTGCGATATGTCTTTCTCTTACGAGAGAGGGAGGGGCGTTGAAGAAATGAACTTCGCATGGTCTGCCTAGTCTCAGTCGAAACGTATGTGTATTGTTTGCATTTCGTGTCCCTCTCCACTAGTGCATTTCTCAAATCCATTTGTTCATGTTGGTTTGCAATAATCAGTAAATTGTTATTCTGATTTAGCACCTTTGTTTTCTTACTTCCTTACAGATGGGAAATTTATTTTCGGCTTTCGGTTTCAATCAACCATTTCTGATCGCTTTAGCTGTGTAAGTTTCTCTTTTTTATATAAATCTGCTTGACTATGCACTATGGCAATATCTGTAGCTATCCAATTAGTTGCTTATTAAATGCTTGAACAAAAAAAAAAAAAACGAATATTTTGTAAAAAGAACTTGCACGCTGCACTTTTTTACAAAATTCTGGAAATTTTGCGCTAAAATATTAATAGTTCGACCTATCCTTGACGAGCAAGCAAGCGATATTTTAACCCCATAATATTGCCCTTTCTGCTTTAATATTTTAACCATTAGTGTTTCTGCCAATAATTTGTCCAGATGATTGGAAATTGATTTGATGAGGCTTACCAGCTAATGTCTATTAAAATATCTTAAATTGATTTCCTTTCTACTTTGTTTTTGATGATTCTTAATCGATGACATTTAGTAGTCGATGACTGATTGCCTCAGTATTTAAAATGCTATAGAACTGCATATTCCTGAAGTTTTCACTGCAAGAGAAATATATATTTCTATTTTATATGTTTCGAGTCTTCTCATCCCATTATTTCTCCTCATTTCTCTTCTTTACTTAGTTCTAGGTAATTTAACCTGCTCTGAAGAAAATGATGACAGTGGTAAAAGGAAGATGAGCAAAAAATAAAGAAATTTAAGCCACAGGATTAAATCAAGGTAACAACTCAGTGAGTGATACTTTTCTCCATTTGCATTCAAATATATGAAGTAGTGCTGAGCAAAAGAAGTATTCCAGAATCATAATAATGCTTTTGGTGACAGCGATACTTGTTGGAAACGATGAACCACAAAAATGCAATGTGACTCATCGACGTGATGATACTAATACCGTAAGGTTTTGTTTTTCTTTTTCTACATCTATCATCAAGGTAATGGGATGGTTATGTTGCCCTATAAAATATCGTACTCTTTTTTAAAAAAAAAAAACTTTCTCAGATTGGTTTCTCTGAGACCCTGAAAAATTAAAGCATTAACTTTTAATAACAATCCTTTGAGGAAGTTGCCTTACTTGTTTAGGACCTCTCTCAGTGCGGTAATCCCGTCTTTTGCTTTCTAGCATCTAACCATGAGTAAAATCACGTTCTGGATTTTCTACCTCACTACCTTGTTTTGAGGAGCAGTCTAGCTTCTGCAAATAATACTAATTAATTCAATAATTATTCTTTAGTTGCAGGAATGAATCTTCCCCCCATTTGCTTCCATCACTTCCATTTCAGCCTTGTATCACAATTCACAGTCCGTTAAAATTCGACACAGCTACTCTATCGGAATATACTTCATGATTGTTGTGTCCTAAACAATTCTGTGCTCGATTTCTGAACTTTCTTGTTATGGCTTAACCCACAACCTTATAGATGTTTCGGTTCCAGTCGCGGAATGAATTCCCAGAGAACCATTATTGTTAGTTCCAAATTCGTTATTTAAGGGAAAATTGAAATTTCAGAGTTATTATGTTGGATTACCTAGCAGTAGTGAGTAGCGACATATATTGATTAGAGTAATTTTATTCTGAAGATGTCCTTTTGGGAGCAATTAATTTTTCGTTTTCCTTTTTTTGCGAGATTCTGGACATTTCTAAAGCCTGTTTATGTTGTTCACCTTAAGCAATATATCCGTGAGTTATGTGTAAAGCGCAATTGTACATTTATTTAGAATTTCATTTCTATGTGATTTCTTTTGAGCATTCCATTGCACTAAAATGATCTATGCAAAGACAAGTTCACTTCCAATCATCATCATTGCATATTCCTGTGACATATTTTCATTCTCTACTAATGTGCAATTAATACTTGTTTTACTTTCATTTCTTTTAAATGCAAATGAATCACATATTTTCGTTTTCTACGATGTGATAAACTGAAACGTTTAGGAGTGGCAATGTACATACAGAAGCAAGATAAAGCTTTATTGGAACTGCTGCTAGCTTGAATGGATCGATACACAGGACAATGATCCATATCAATACACTATTACTTTTATTTTGTCAACAAGGGTAGATAATAGCAGAGGGTGAAATAAAACGCCAGCATTTACCAACATGTAAACAGTCGGAGTGGTTCATTTATATTTCTGCGAATGCTTGTTTTTTGAATTGAAGTCCTCCACTAGTACTTTTGCCATACTACTTATTTCACCTCAACTGAGATACATAGTTTTAAAGTAGGAATATTAGGTAAACCTATGTTTGTTTCTATTTTACAGCTCGAATTATGTCATGGCTCTCATTATTATTTACTACTGTTACTGACCAGCTTCTCATTCATAACTGAAGGAGTTATCTCATACCGAGCTAACATATTAAGAATCAAATAACCGCATTTTCCAAAAGCTATTTTGAAAATGCAAATTTTTACACAAACCGCCACTTTCCAAAAAACATTTCCGACACAACTGTCAAAATTACATTAACGAGGTGAAATAATATCATAGTTTATTATCAAATTTCTACATCCGATTTGGATTACAGTTAGCAATTATCAGTTGCATGCTATCATCACTTTTAGCGGTGATATGTCTGTATATTGATCTATTCAATAGCGGTGTTTTTGATTAGTTTCCGTTTACCACATAACACCGTTGCCTTTTTAATTTAAAAAAGTGCCACATTTCTAAAACTCAAACTAACAATTTTAATTTCTTTTTCATCTTTTACTTGCTTATGCGTGATATTAAAATATTAATTTACTGCGTAAATTTTTAGTCATTTCACGTAATATTTCTTAGATTTTACAATAGTTTTTGTTGCGATTTAAGGGTTATTATTAGATAAATGGAATAAGGTTAATTATCTTAGTTGAAGCTACTTGAAGCTACTATTAGTCGAACAGAGATATTCACTACTCATTGGATTTGATCAAATTAGTATTTTGGATATCTTTGTTAATTATCTGTTACTGCAATTTCATTTGCAGCTTAAAAACAATATGATAATTTGACCCAACGCTTCATTTCGATTTTTCATTATAAGAAAGCAAAATTGTGCAAAAAAAGGATATTGAAATTGGCATATTTACTAACTGCCTAAACCAAAAGATTTGTACATATCAAAGCTTATGTCCATCCGCCCTGTGTAATTATTGGATTATAATGTCGGCCATTTATAATTTCTAAATGTTAATACTTGAGCACAAAATATTAAGTTAAGAGGGCAATGTATGAAATTTTTGTTAAAGAAATTTTTAGTACAAATAATCTTTTTGAATTAAAATGAATCTAGGTTTTCTGTCAAAAAGATTTTATAAGAATTAACGATAAAATTCATTATCTACAAGCTTTTAATAAAAAATCAATAAAAATCTGGAATCAAAAATTTGTCTAGACTTTTTGAGTAAGTTGTGTGATGGAAAAACTAAACAATTTGTTTAATTTTTTTTAAACTTATTCATTGAATAGAAATTGTATGTATTTGTTTACATTATGTTGCGAATACAGTTTATACAAAGTAAACAATTTGATATTTATTGAAGAGCTCATTTATACACGATGAAGCATATAAAAAGCAAATGAATTATTGTAATTGTCGCACTAAATGTTGGAAAATCTGTTTATCTAGAGAATCAAGCCTTAATTTAGCTAAATTATCAAATAAATTGAAAATTCAATTACAGAGGATTAGAAAAAAAAAAAAAAAAAACTGAAAGATATTTCGGTGATACGTCGAACAATATAACACCACAAGATTTTTCTCTAAAATTTAGGTTTTTATTTCTGACCAGTTATCAGCGAGTAAATAGCATTTCAGAGAAGAGTGAAAATGGTCTAGACTTGGGTGAGGGTCAAAAATTATATGCAAGAAAAGAAGATAAATGTAAGTCACTTTAAAAATAATAGATTGAATTCATAATCATTCTCAAACTGATTCAACTGAGAATATCGGTCATAATGATCCGGTATAGTAGTGTGTATAACATTTATAACTATAACAGAAATCGAAATGGTATTTGGATTTTTTAATTTTTGTTTTTAGATTTTTATTTCTTGATCGATTATCTGTTCTGATTTATCCAAGATTAGGGATAAGGATGAAGGAACAATCGATGTTTTTACATCTTTCAGTATGTTAGACATTCAACATATTACTTCCTGTCCAAGCAAATGAATGCTTATTCCGCTTTGCGATCTTTTAAGATTCGGAACAAAGTTTCATCATCTCTTACCACCTTAAATAAGTGACATATTGGTAAATAGAAAAAAAAGACATATTCATTGTATATAAAATCCAATCATAATTATTCATGAATCTCATAAAATTACAGAGAAGCAATTAGGATACAAATTGTATTTCTTTGCATAACCAGTTTGCTTTTTTTCTTTTTTTTTTTAATCAGCAAACGCTGCAGAGTAGTAAGCAGTTGATGTGATTTTAGAATCATAAAACTAAAAAGTAATTTAGGGAAAATAGAAAAACTCGAGAAACATTTAAAATTTAACTTTCAATTTTAAATAAATGATATGGGCAGTAGCTGATAACTAGTCTGCAAATTTCGAATGAACAAAAAATGGAATTCTAAAAAACAACATTACTTTTAACACTTCATCACTTTTGAAATGTTCTTTTGATTTATATTTTCTACAGTTCCTTTTTTCCAATCTAATGAAGAAATCAATTCTAATTTTTCTATCTCTAAAATTTCTTTAAAAAGCTTTCCTGTACTCTTCCACTATTCTGGCATTCTTTTCGCATGACTGAGATGGAGTCCTACAATTGCGGATACACATGTGCAAACTGAAAATACTCATTCATATATATATAAAACAAGTGCATCTTTAAGTTTCACTCTAGATGTCATTTCCAATAACGTTCAAATCTCTTTAAAAAAGCTTTTTATCAAGTATTTAAGTTCTCCTTCCAAAAGCGATGTAAGCTGAATTTTTTCTTGAGCACTGAATTTGATAATCCAAAAATTTAAGAGGAAAACAAGTTTGATGAGTAAACTTCTCAGTTAATTTGACTTTTTACTTGATTTTTCTAACTTATCTCATTCTCGGGACAAATGAAAAAATTTTAGGGACTGCAGAAAAGAATTTACAAAAAAATTTCTGACACTTGTACTCAGAAATGAATATTAACTATTTACACAGCTATCGTTCAACCATCAAAAATATGTACCTATTAAAGCGAAGTAATCATTTGTTCAGCCGCTTTGGGGCGGCAGTTGCAGTAAATACTTCAGTAATCACTTTAAAATACATAGTGCGTAGTAAAAAAAAAAAAATTATTCAAAGTAAAACTACTCGAAAATAATCTTTCAGTTACTGCTGTAAATACTGAAGTTTCAGAATTTTAAAAAAGTTATGATTATCAATGCACTCTGTTTAAACAAAATAATGACTACAATTATTGATGCGTCGTTTATAAATTTAAATTTCCAGATGAAACTGTAAGACGTGAAAGAAAATGCTTGATAAAAAGGCAGAACATTCCTGGTATATTACTTTAATGGATGTGCAGTTAAATTAATCACTAAATCTTTTTAAGAAACGTTTAACTAACAGAAGATAATTATATAAATTAATTAATTGAATTTACAGAACAATGCTTTATAGATACAAAAATGAACGGAATAATGAATATATAAATGTCACCTAATGTCATCAGTTGTTCATCTTTATGACTGATAATATCTGCTTTTAATAATCGTTAAAGTTTGTTAGAAAGAAAATTAAGCAAAGCTGGAAAGGATTTTGAAATGCGCCCTACTGAATTGATCTGACTAATTTAAATTGAAGTAATACTGGAAAACTAGTTAGTGAATAAATATCTTGGACGTAATAATTTCTTCTTCCATTATTTAACGGTTTGTCTTCTTTTGACTATTAATGAAGTAGTTTTTCTCAGAAATTTTGAATTCAATTCCAACATGTTTGGAAGGATGTTGAGGTCTTCTTTTCCTTCAACCTGACTTCATTGAACCATTAAAGTACGCACTATTGCATCGAAGAAAAAACTGTTAGAGGAAAGCTTGCAAGCTATCCAAGTCTAAAAAATGAGAAATCATCAGCTTTGAAAGATATTTGCTTTTTCTTCACCACTTCTACAAATGGTTGAAGTTTTTCTACATTTTGCTGATTATTTCTTGTCTATTTATGATACTCCCGGAATTTTCTTAAAGTTTTCTGAAAAAGCTATGATTATCATCTTTTTCTAGTTTAATGCTGCGATATATTTTTCTAGCTTAAACAGTTTATCTCTCACATTCCCCTTTGAAAACTGATAACTTGTCTCTAATATCTTTCATTTATTTATGACTTGTCAGAAGTTCGATTAAAAATATTCATGAAAAACAAATTAGCTTTTGTTTGCGATATCTCGCTAATAGTCAATATCTTCTGTCAGCATCTTCATATTTTCCTTGGTCTTTATGAAACGCAGTCTGAGATATTTCATTCGGTTTTGATTAGAGTAATTTTCTTCCATGAAAATATTTGCATTTTGCTGTGGCAATTATTTGTAGAAATGTCAAATATAAAGGAATGTGCATGATACGATTTGTTGTACACATTCTTTATATCTTCTATTCGTATCCTTCTAATATATTGTAATTTTTCTGAACATTGATTTTTACTGAGAAAACGTCGTCTTATTCCTTTTCTCCAGAAAGCAAAAAGTAAATTTTGAACTTTAAATGCAGTAAAATTATATAATTATAAAGAAGTAAAAATAAAAATAAGGAAGCCAGTGATTTTGGCTATTTCAATCTTTTTGGTACAATCCACAGTTTAAGAATATATTGTTGAGGTTAAAGAAAGATGAACGGCCTTTATACTTAAAGTGCGATGAGGTATTAATTTGCTTAATTAGAAGAAAAATAATATTTTGCTTTATTATTATTGTTGTGTTTGATTTCATTTCATTCTCTTTGTGGCATTTAACTTGATTGTACTCAATTACGAAGGTTTTTCATGTTTAACTTTACATGTTTTTTTCAAATTCGAAATAGAATAAACTTTACGATCGCGATACAGTAATCCGGTTTGTAATTTTCCCAGTTTAGTAATTTGTACTCAGTGTTTCTTCAACAATGCAGCGAATTACGTTTTGTTACTATTGCAAGTATTTTCTTCAAATTTGTTTTTTTAAACTTCTGACTAAGCACGAAACGGAAACTTATGTTGTATTTTTTGAGCTTTATTAAGACATTCAGACATTTCAAATTTTATAGAGAACGCAAAAGACCTGTGTGTGACTAGGCATGGTGATATAATGTTAAGCCAATAAAATTGATATGACTTTACAATGTTAAACGATGTGTAAGTCACCAAGAATGATGACACGAATCCTTTAGTAGCTATGCTTATTTTTAACCTATTATTTCAGTATTCTTGGGTGTTAATTGAACTGCTATTTTCTTTCCTTGAATACCTTTATGACTTGCCAAAAGTCCCTTTTGGTGTTTTAGAGATTACTCCGATATTTCTCTCGACTACGCTTCAAATTTGTTAATAATCCTTTCTACAAACACTTTGGAATTTCTACAGAACTTTACGCATATACATATTGGACTTCAAATTTTATTTTCGGTAAGCATCAATTTGGTATTTGTGAAAGATGAAGGCAGGCGATTTAGATATTGTAACGATTGAACTTGACCCATAAGAAAAATTTTTGTGCTACGAATAACTGCGGTTACATGAAATTCGCAAATGAATGAATCGTTTTACCTTTCATTTCAAATGAACAAGGCTTACAAAATATTAGTGGATTTTCAAGACCATTCCAAAGATTTGTTTTGCATTCATCTATCTTTTCATCAATACAAAAATATCAATGATTAGAGTTTTATGAAATAATGAATTTGATGGAAGTTTATATAGTAGTTACTTATTTGCTGGAGCTATTTAATTTTAGCACGACAATTTGTTTTTAAGTCACAAATATGCGGAAAGTGGGCTACAACGACACTTCTTTCGCTGACTCATTTTCATATAAATATCAGGGCAGATTATAATCTTTCTTAAGAGGATGCCAAAAGTAGTGGAGGAACTCGGAATAAGGATAAGAGAGAAACGAGAGCGTACTTGTCTCGAGCGAAATGGAAGAGCGAAAAATTTAGGGTGAAAAATGTCCTACTGATGATGACCACTGATTGTCCATCTCAAAACTCGGAATGATTAAAGATAGTGTAGTGTTATGTGCGCATCTGTTGTAATATAGTTTTCGTGGAAACAACACTATCCCACTACATTCCACTGTTTGTAATACATATTTTGATGGAGACCGATACATATCACCATATTGCTTGGATATCTCTATCATCACAATTTCTTGCTCCGCACAATACATACAATATAAGAAAACAAAATTCTCTGAGTCAAATGTGCTTCATAATTCGTAGATCTTTTTATCGATCATATTCAGAAAGTTAGTTTTAGTCACCAACAATGATTACATCAGGATTGTTTACATACTTCTATGAGGAGTGGAAGGATTATATTGCAAACATGCATAATACGTATCTCATTATAACATTTCTATTATTACTATTGCAAATATATCACAAATATAATGGACAAATAGGTAATGTGGCGGCGATTAAGTTGATACAACGCTTCATTTCCATTAATCATTGATTTCCACCTAGTTTTAATCTCATAACGATGTCATCATAATTGATGTCGTGTTGAGTACAGTCTTGGAATAAAGACTGATGAGTAGATGAATACAGTATTTTCATGTCGCTCTTGCAATATCTCTTGCTAACGATAGAATTTACTAGAAAAAAATGTTTGATTTTTTACTTCCTTCATTAATTTAGATTAAAGAATGAATCCACTACGTACAAAAATGATAACCGTCAATTTGGACAGGTTTTGTAGCACTAAATATTGAAGAGCCAAGATGGCTTGTAATCTCTAAGGGGTGATAATGAATAGACATTTATGCAAAATAACATTAAAGCGATCATTTTTGCAGAGTCGATCCAAACAAGTTATTTTCTCTTTTTTCTCTCCATCATCTGTCTAATAATTAGTAACCTTCATTAGATAAGATTAGTGGAATAATATAGATTAATGGTCTTTCACATATTTTCGAAGATGAGTACACTTTCTGAATGGTCTTTGGCATTTTTGCAGTATTTTTTGCTTTATTCATAATCTTTCTTTTCGAAGGAATTAATTTAAATACCAACAAAAATGTTAACTTGATAGAAAACAAAGGTGTAGTGTAACGTGAAACTCGAGGTAGTCATATTTAGCACATATTTATCGAAATTGAGCATAAGAATTAGCTATTAGTTTTACAAGATTCACAAATGATGTTTAATTTTCATTGTCATTACAAATGTTCATGAAACACTTGTCTTCTTCCTTTTTTGATGCCTTACTAACGTTTCATTAATTTCTGCCTTCCTTACTTCTTCTCATATCATGCCAGTATGTTTACCTAATTGATCCTATCAGTATATTTCTAGCTTTTACTGTTCCTTTATGCTTTCATGATTAGTTGTTAAAATAATTGCTATTACAACTTTAAAGAAATATAGACAATTTTTCCCGTTGAAAAAATAATCTCTGCAAAATACACAAATTTTTTCTCTGCGAAAAATAGTAAAATTTCTTCTCGAATAACATGGTGCAAGAAACGATAATGTGATGATAACACTTCATGGGATAGAGGAAATATTTTGAGGAATATCACTTCGATACCTTCAATCCATATTTTATGCAAATGTAATGTTTACTAACTGAAATTTATCAGAAATAAATAAATATTCACATTGACTTAAAGTGGACGTGTGAGCACAGCTTCAAAATGTCATATTAAGCTTAAAAGCCTCAAAACTTTTGAATCATAACAATTTATAAGCAGTTCGTCATTTGCTCTATTAGTTCCATACAATGATCTTTTCCTCATACTTTCAACATCACTGATATTGGCTTAGCTATTCAATCTCCAATCTTAACTTTTGTGTTCTCATTCTCAATCAGTTATGGTGATAGAAGAAATCAGTTTGTCTTGAAATGAAGGTAAAAATAGACAATAAAAGTTAATGGATTTTCCCATGATGCTATATAATTCAATTATAGCACTTCTCTCCAGCATTTAAGTAAAATTATTCTTGTCTCTATTTATATGACATATTCGATTTCCAATTTTCAGTTTAGGTTAATGATTTGTGAAGCTGTTCAATGAGATACGTCAACCGTAATTGACGAAGAAAGTGGACTTTCCAATGGTCAACCATATATGTATTTGTACATTGCTTCGGTTAGGATAATTAAGACAGGTGGAAGATATACGATGACGTCAGTTTTACCGAAATGCAGTCGTCGTCAGACATTCTTCTTTGGTGACAAACATATTTTTTGATATCAAAAGCTTGGAAAATATGAGTTCAAATAGGAGTTAACTTTGTTTTGTCATGGAGGACCTACAGTTTAGTGTGATGCCACTGAAAATCTTGTGGGAGTTCAAGCTACCTTGAATAAGCAATCACTCAACTGATATTACATACTTAATTTTGTACATTTGTCTGTTTTGGACGAACATAATATTTCAAATTCAACTTCTTCTTTTAGTCATGATGACCATCGAAAAGACAGCGATCAGACATAACGTTATTCAGCGAACTACGTACAGCAGATGACCTTCGAGACGATTCGCCGCGCTACCTAGTGGTTGTAGTGTTATTCCTGTCGTGATAGATAGATGAGTGAAGGAAGAAGAGAAGTTTTGAGAGGGAGAGAGACAGTTTTATCTGTGCCTTACAAAGAGAGATAGTACTTCTTTAGTCATCACTGCTGAAAGTAATCATCAACATTTTTTCGTACTATTCCACTTATTCATTTCTATCTTGCTCTATTCCATGATGTTTTCCTCCTGCATTTAGTATTATGATAATCATAATCACTTCTGCCTGAATTGCCATTTGTTGTCACTTTCAACTAGTTATTGCTACTACTTCCACACTTCGTCACCAACAATGTCACAATCCCTCTCCATCTTTCTCCTTCCCTTTCTCAACCTCTGATCGCATCATACGACGATACTCGTCATCATCATCAAAATCACCTCCACCGTCATCGTCAACCTTCACGAGCATTCCTGTGCGCGCAGTCAACCATGTTTATGCAAAACACTTAACTTTGAACCATCATTGTCCCTCTTCTCTATTGCAATCTAAATTCTACAACAGTACCTCTCTTTCTATTAATTATGTTATTGTATATTGCTTTTTCAGTTTTCCTAGGGATCGGGATTATTTATTGATTTTGTTATTGTTATAATTATTTATCACTTCTTAAAATTTCTTTTTCATCACACAATTTTTTTTTAAAACTTCTGCAATTATATTCTAAAGTACACCATTTTTAAAGCTTCCAACTTGGATTTAAAAATAAGAGGAGAAAATTTCCAATTCTATACAAGCAGATTAAGTGGTTAGAATGACCATTGGGAAGACTAGCTCGCATTTATTTCGCACTTTTGAAAAATGAAGTAACTGTACCTGAAGTCAGCTTAAGATAATTTTAGCCAATAATGTGAAATGCAATATTTGAATTACAGAAAACCTGTTATTATAGTGTTGACCGTTTTGAATTTGACTGTTCAGTTAGCCTGGTATTTTGAGGGGCTATCTCAGTGTCAATAAAATGCGGACATTGGTTACACTTAATCCCTACTTATCCGTCTCATTTCATTTCGTTGTCTTAAAATTATTTTGTGTTTAATTTCTTCCAAAGTGCTGAATTAATGCTATATTTGAAGTAGTGGATGCTTAATGAACAAGTTAAGATTATACACAACTAAGAGAAAACTGTTGCACTTTTTTTGATGGAAATGACTATTCAGTATGATTCGACATTTTAACACAAGTTATATAACTAAATTATTTGTGGCATATCCCGATGCATAACCACTTTGTCGAACATCTTAATATTCTAGAAACAAGAAATATTTTTGCTTCCCCAGAGATTAATTATAATTAATTACAACTAAGTACTTATCCTTATGAGCTTTTTCTTTCAACCATCAATTATCTGAATCAGCAATTTATTTAATCTCTGAAATATACCTATAACGTGCTTTATTGCTTTTGATTACATTCATAAGATGATAATTTGCTTAAAAAGATTATACTATATTGTTATTTCTGATTTACCTTAAGGGGATTTCAAACTGTATTAAAACATGAAGACTTTCTTCTCTGACATCTATTTACAGTTAAATCTTAAATTTAAACTAGTCCAAGTTAAAGTTTGATCATATAAACATCGTCAGTAATGCACTCGTTGCTTTTGTCGATTGCTATTGTATCACCCATTTGCACTATTATCTTTTAGCATGAGGAATTAACTGCAAATCGTTCAAAAATCCTCGACGTAAATCATTTCCTACATAGTTTCTTATCATTTAGCTGATATTAGTAATCAGTTTTTATAAATATAGATTGTGAGATCGATAATATTGAAAGATATCTCCACAGATTTGCAATTATCAATACTCAGTTATTACTCGTGCCGCATTATCAACACCATCATCATCATCTGCAATGTTTAATTACTGATTTTGTATAAAAATTCTTCTAAATAAGGTTAGGGAAGAAAATAGAAAACTTGGAATGCTATTTGTTGCAGAATTAATGCATCTAACATTTTATTATACGCGCATCTGCATACATAGATAAATGATAACGTGAATTTATTGATATCATGACTCTATCTGCTCATCAGTAAAATAAATACTATGATATGAAGTGAATAAGCGAAAGCAATCACTCCTTTCACAGGTGTCAACTGCTTATCGTACTGTGATGATTTTTGAATGTAACATAACTACTACATGTGTCACATTAATTTATTTTTACAGAGGATAAAGGCTTGTTGTTGTTCATTAAATATTAAAAAATTGAGAATGGAATGGGAAGTATGCACGGAAGAAATTTTCTGTGTGTATAATTTTCTGCAAGCTCTCTTCATTTAAGCTTCTCTTTCACAAATCGTTACTGATCTTGAATGTCAACAAAGCTCTACTACATATATTGATGGTAATTTGACACACTCAAATTCTTTTTTATCTCTTTTTGCATTAAGTATTTTATTTTCTGTTATTCATCATTTATATACTCTTTTGTTGCTGGATCTATTAAATTACCTACGAGTGTTACACAACCTATTATGCCCAAATAACAATATAGATTGCTGATAATTAAGAAAAAAAGTGAAATGTAAAACTTTAATTAATTTCAATTGCTTCAAAATTTAACGATAGTTGATAATTATTGAAATTGTTGAATTTATTAACTTTTGTTGATGTAGGCAGTAAGATTATAAAAGAATTTGTACTAATCGCATAAATTGCGATACTGGACTATTTAAAAATTTTTCCTACATTTCATTGGAAAACATAATATGCCTTTAAAATATCAGTGTTTATTTCTCAAACGAATTCCATTGACGAAATTTGAGCCATGTGTGGTTTCATCATGGAATGAAAAGTTCATTCATCACTCATCCAGTAATTTCTCTTAAATCGATCTCCTTTCTTTCATTATTAGAATTCATTTTGCCAAGTAAATTTGTTAAACTTATTCTTCATACCTAGTCATGAGGACAAATACAAGTTCAAACTTTAATATTTCTTCCTTGACTCTTCCATATTAGCAGATACGATTAAAAAGAATATAGGTAGTTACTCTAATATTTCAGGAGCATCTAAAAACGAAATTTAATTCTGCTTTTATTGGCGTATACAGGATTGTTTCATAATTCTTAATTTCTGATTGCATGGATTTTTTTGAAATTGTTGACTTTTCTTGATTTCTGGTGTTGGAAAACTTTTTGGACTTAGTCTTATTAAAATATAATAGTTAAAGACTAGTACGATAATTAAAGTCCTAATGTTTGCTTGTTAAATGAAGTACTGATTCATTCTGCCAAGTAAAAGAGTCAAATGTATTATGTGGCTTGGCAAATTCGCCAACTTCATAAACAATCAACAATCTCCAGAGCTAGTTTCTGGTAAATTTTATATCCAAAGTGATATGCCGTCTTAAATCAGAGAAGTTCATCGTCAAGATGATAGGATCAGAGAAGTTCATCGTCAAGATGATAAGACTCAACCTAAACAAATTTTAGTATACATGCACAGGCGATTGATTTATTACGATTTTTTTACGGAGCGAAATATTTTTCATGTTTCCAAATCATGGGTCAATAATTTCCTGAATTTTACCTCTCCAACTACTATGAATTGGCGATCATTTGCCATCTACATTTTTTTCATTATTTACATTTCTGGACAGTGTTTGCCCTTTTTAACACTGGATTTTTCTGATCAGAGAAGTTCGTCCTAAATACTGTAATATTTTAACTTTGATTACATTAACCATTGACAGATTAGCAGAACGTAGACGAAGTCGAAATTTTGTTGGCTGCAATTAAGTAGGCCAGTGTATCTCTACAAGCCAGACCCAGTACCATGCTTACGGTTATGCTTAATAAATGGTGTTATGCTAAATTTGTATTTGATTTGTGTTTTGGTGTTTCACTTTTGAAGTTCTATGCTTTTGGCCTTATCTTAATGAGTAGTTTCCGACTTAATCCTTGATGTAAAAAAATAGTAAAAACAATGATAAGTCTGCTATCTGTTAAAATAATAAATACAGCAAACATGTTTTTTTTTTTTTTTTAAACATATGAACTGTTTTGATTGTACCATAAAAAAATGCTAAAAAAATTTGTTTTTGTTTGATCAACATAGTTTTAAGCGCTTATTACTCATTGGCTTTACGAGTGAAAACTGGTTCTGTAGCTTATCTGATTTGTTTCAAGAAGGATGTATCAATCGATTCGGAACCATTAGTGCAATATGTACAGTTTCTATCATCCGTGCATTTTTTTTTCGATAAGTTCCATTTTAACTATAGTAAAAATTTACCTGTTTTGGAAATTAATTTGACTGAGGAATGCAATTTATCAAGGTGTGGAAATGTATCCATCGGTTTTTTCTCTTTCTTTTTTTCACCTGTAACGCATTCTTGTATGTTGAGTGGTATTTCTGACAGTGTTTGACACATGGTGTGGAAAGGAATTCCTTGCATTAGTGCTATCCTTTCTTTCCTTTCCTTTCCTTTCTTCCATCCATAGTTCAGAAATTCAACCCGTGAAATGAATTGGAACATTTTTGGAGTGATGATGATGCTGTTGCTGATTGGTAAATGTGAATGGGTTAGTCATGCGATATAACACTCCCGAGAAACTTCCCCTTTCATGCTATTTCCAGTTTCCCCACTTTCCTCTGTTGTTGTTTCAAATGATTTTTAATAGCATTTAAACTCTTAAATCAAAATTCATTTCAAAAAGTCCTTTAAAACTAAGAAATCAAAGGAACTTTTCCCTTAAATAGTATGTAAATGAGTTGAAATATCTCCCATGCGTAATTTATTGAAAAAAAAATGAAAAATATGTTTATTTTGAAAATATATATTGAAAATAACATCATAGTTTTGTAAAATAATATAACATAAAAACGAATGAAAATGGTGCTATCTTTTATTGATTACAATATTCGCATATTTTTATTTGGTCCATATTTTTGATTCCTTCTAGGTCGATTTTTTGTATACATAAACCTGATTAACTATTACCGATTTTATGTTTATTACTGCTTGCGCCATTTTAGAACCATGTCTTTCAAACATCTTAATTTTTATCACAAATTGCAGGTTCGAATATTGTGTCGAGAATTAGAACAACAATCGACTTTACAACGCTTCAAATTTTAAAATCAACATCAATTATAAGCTCTAAAATAGAATCAGACAAATAAAAACAGGAAAAATAGCAACAACGACGACCACGACAACAACAGCGACGACGATATGGACCTCTATCCGGTGCCCGATATTGGGCATGTTTCGTTTTCCGGTTTAAGCGAACCTTGTTCTATTGGTTCGATTGTTGAAGTAGTGGTAAGTGACTGGATATCTCTAGATATATTTGAAATCCTATGCGATTTGGCACAGTTTCCAAAATGCTGCGGGACAGATTATTTTTATAATCACATTATCGCATAACTACTTGACAACAAATAAATTCAGTTTAAAAGAGAATTTTCAACTTGCAAGAAACTTGCAGGAAACAAAAAAGAAATAGTTTTCTATAAACCCGGAAAAACTGATTTTCACAGAAAATGATTTATTCTAATAAATCGCACAGTAGAAATCATATATTCTTTGACAAGAAATGCGTGTCTCAAGAAGATGAAACTGAAAATATTGATAATTCTAACTTAGTGATAAGAACTTACAGATAAATGCACATGGTGATTCTTCCGCAGGCTCCATTCTTGTTGAGGCAATTGCGCCTTCAGGATGTGTCAAAAATTGCCATGTACTCAAGAAAGGAAGCATTTTTACAGCTACTTTCACACCAAATGAAGTTGGTTAGTTTGTTTTTATTCGTTACTAATTAATTTACAATTTACTGATTGGTGGCTTTATTTTAGGATCTCGATTTATCATTTCTGCTAACAGATAGACATTTACTGTGACTCTAAAATACTGGATCACGAATTCAAAATTGCTGTCTTTCTTCTTATTGCTATATTAGATTAAATTATCAAACAAATCCAAAATCTTACCTCTACTCAAAGTTCGAAACTGAGTCATCGTCTGATTTTATTATATCATTGTTAAGGCAGTATTCAGATTCCAGACAGTCATCTGGTTGTTGTTTACTTTCCTATACATTAATTTATGACAATTATTTTTTCAGTACTATTAATTATAAACATTTATTTTCTTTCTGGTTTAAAATTCTTGTTTCACAATTTAATAGACGATATTCGATATTTTCCGAAAAAAATCTATTTCTAAAGCTTTTTGAATAAGATATATGGAGCTAAGAGAAGCGTATGAAATCCTCAAAGAATTCATTACTACCACAGCAAATTATTCGTTTATCAGCAGGACTTAAAAGATAAAGTTTCAGCTTAAATATTAGATTAAAAGTTTCCGACATTTTTGTATTATTTTTCAGTTCTTCTCTCTTTTTTTGCAAATACTATAATGGAGGATTTTTCTATGCTGAGGAAATAACAGTACAAATAAAACAAAATAAGAGTATTATAGGATACGGTTGCAAAATAAGAGCAGTCTTAAATGATTAATTAAACTATTTGGTTTTGATACTAATACGAAGTTTGAAACTGACTGGAAAAATCCATCATATGAATCGTATGGAAATTATGAGTTGGATGATAGGTTTCAGAACTACGTTGTTATGATGGCTTGAGAACTTTTAATGCAGTTCTTGAATTCTTGAAGAAAATCTAGCAATATATTTCCATATTTAAGGAAGGATAAATTTTCTTTGTTAAACCTCATATCTAGACATCATTGCCTTTTAGTTCTTTCCTTTCCTCCCTAAAAAACGGCGTTGAGATTTTGGTATAGCTCATCAGTTCTTTTGATTCATGTAAGTAAATAGAAAATTAATTATATGACATTTGCTCGTAAACAATATGCAATTGAAGCCTGTTTTTACCTATGGTTTTCAACTAAGTGAAATTTCATTTTTTTTCTCGTCCTTCAATTTCAGTCTGACCTTTTGCATTGGCTTTTGCAGGTAAATGGCAAATTGGTATACTTTACGATGGTGATCACATTCGAGGTTCTCCATTTTCTTGTAAAGTTTACGACGCCAATCTTGTTCAGGTATTCGATTTTTATTCAGTAGACAAAAGAGTTTGCTAGAAACAATAAAAATCGAAAACCTGATTAGTTTGATTATTTAAGGCAAATTTGGAAGTAATTATTGACATCGAAGTTATTTTTCTCTCTAAATTTAGGTTTATGGCTTGGATGTAGGGCTGGTCGGTCAAGAGCTGAAGTTCAGTGTGAATGCGTCACAAGCCGGCGATGGTTTTCTCAAGGTATTCTTTTGAGAATAATTCATTTCCTTATATTTCCAAGGAATTTATGGAACACCTTAGTATTCTGAAATTTAGTTATAAAATTAGGTCTTTGATACAATAATAAATTCGAATTTTCAAGATCAAACAAACAGAGAGATTACTGACATGAATAGTTGCTAAGAGACTGTGAGTACGCCGTTAAACCAAACAGCAAATTCATAAACCACATGGCCTGTGTAGCAATCTGAGTGCAATAATAATATGGAAAATCTGAATTCAATAAGTCCGAATATAGTACTAATATGTGATAGTCAATCTGATTACAGGAATGCTGTGGAGAATTGGCATAGTAATAATCAACACAGTAGTAGTTGGGCTTGGATACAGTAATATATATTTGAATACAGTAATAATACATCATAGTATGGGTACAATGATATCATATAATTTGGGCATAATAATAATATATTATGAGATATAAGAAATGACCGGGAATGAATGAATTTGGGCAGCTTACAAAGATGTTTTCTTCCCATTTTTCTTACCCGATCATTTCCTTTTCCTAAAATAACAGCGATTTCGAGTATGGCGCTGGACATTTTTTTTTTTCATGTTAAGTTAGATGTAATTAATACCTCAGAAGGTTTGATACGGTCATAAATTTTCTTTGATAATTATATTTTCTTAAAACTCGGTTTTTCTCACTGTATGGTTTTTTGTATTTAAAAACGATTTAAAAGAAAAATTAGCACTTTTCTTGATTTTTTGATTTCAATCTTAGAGTGGTTTTTCACCATCCACTGAGAAGAAATCGAAAGGGGGATACTATGATATTCTTTGTTCTCCGTGATTTACTGGACCATTCAAATTAAATACAATTAGTCTGCGGTGCCAAGAAATTTCTATCCATGTTCTTTTCTAGTAATAGAAGGGGAGTTGTGATATACTGCATTAAATGGTTAAATGGTTCTGATTGTTCAAATTTAATTTGGTATTACCGATTGCGAACCTTTTGATTCTTTCGTTCAATTAATAAATTATATTTTGCTGTGCATCTTTTTTATTTAATTTGTTGTAAATAACTTTTAGCAGCAAAAATTCTTGCTATTTTACCCATAACTGTCCAACTATCTTCTGTTTAAAATTTAGAAAAGCATGTAAAATCTGTTTTTGCTATCACTGTAATAAGAATTGTTGATAATTATATTTGCAATCAAATTATGTTTACCTTCTTCACAACGAAAAAATATATATCGAATCCTATTAATATATTAATAGGTCTCGGTATTACGGCATGGTCGAAGTTTGCCGTGTGAGGTGCTCGAACAAGGTAATTCGGGTGTCTATCGGATCAGTTTCACTCCTGACGGTGCTGGACAATACAAAATTCATGTCCTTTTTAATAATATGGAAGTTAAAGGTAAATTTTACATTTTTCGCTTTTCGGCTCTAGAAATCTGTATGTTGGACATTTATTGCTACATGTTACAACTGCTTCAGATATTTAGATGCCTAAATCTTAACTGATGTTGAATTATATGTTTTCCTAAATATTTAATAATTTTGCATCCATGTTGTTAGCTTTTTATCTGGAACGCTTAATTATTTCAAGAAAGGAATCAGACTTGGGAGAAATTCTTTATTCATCTCGAAATGATATATTCTGATACCTAAATTGATAAATTGATAATCTAATTATAGGTTCTCCATTTATCTTGGATATAGCAGATGCAAGCTCAGTATCTGTTTACGGCGAAAATTTACGAATGGCTTCAGTTGATCGACTTAATACCTTTTTTATTCATGCAGTTGGTGCTGAATGTAAGGATATCACCGTTACCATCACTGGTATATTTCTTGCGCATTTGCTTTCAAAATTATGAAGTTATTCTTTACTTTATACTTACATAAAGTTTCTACATGCAAAATAAGTGGGATAGATTAGTTTTTGTCGCATTTCTTTTTTGGGAAAAGTTGGATGAACTCGTCTTCTTTCGTTTTTCATTAAGATTTACTCTTAATTGACATTTTAAATCATGTTATTGTCTCCAGAATATATCATTGTTTGAGTAGAATGCATAATCTTTTATCTTCACTTATCAAAAATCATTATTTCAGCTGAAACATTTTTTGCGATTATTAAAAGTCTGCTATTATTATTTTTTGATGCTCAGTTTTCCCATCAGAAACATGCAAATTATGCTATTTTTATCTTTTAAAATTGCTGAAAGGAGTTATGAAATCTGACAAGATAATAAGCTACTAATATTACCGGCATATGAATCTTTGCATCAGTGCTTTAATGTCAAAAAATTCTTTGGTAGTGCAAAGTCGTATAATAATAATTTGTTATATGGTTGCTGTCGTCCGTTGTCAATAGAAATCCTTGAAGTTTTGAAATCAAAAATTGAACTTATAATTTTCAGAGGATATTTTGATTCTAAATTAAACTGGGACATTTTTCAAGACCTTTATACAGATTTTTAATTCTATCCCAATCCTGCAGATATTGATTTAGCAGTTCATCTTCTTGACTGATTCATTCATTGTCGCTTTGTTTGCGTTTTTTATATATGATTATCTATAATCCATACGTATTGATCGATTGATTCGATGCTGGAATGAGGATGACAGCGAGATTAAAATTAAAAAAAAGTAGAAAACGTCAATTAGCTTTATGTTTTTTAGCACCTTCCGGAAAATCGAAACGAGCGCGAGTTTATCAAACTGATGACGTAACTCACAAAGTAGAATGGAAACCTGTTGAAGCCGGTATGAATTAGTATGTTGTTGCTTGTTAATAAAGATTAAAGCTTTCTTATAATGCATAAGGAAACTTGTCATGTCGATTACAGATTTAGTAAAAATGTTAGAAATATTTCCTTTGCCACCTGCTCAAAAAAAGCTTAATTTGATTAAAATAAATTCGTCGAATAAATGATGAAGTATTCTTTTTTTAGTAAGGTAAGTAAAAAAATATATGAAAGTATTTGAAGGTGAACATTCTATTGATGTACGACTCTTCAATCAGAGCGTATACGAAAGTCCATTTATATGTAATGTGGGTGATCCAGATTTGGTAACTGTCCGGAATATGCCAGAATTCATCAATGCAGATGAACTTTTTAGGGATTATACCTTCGAAAGTAAGTTTGTTCCCAAAATAACTTTTCTCTATGTTTACTTTATTTATTCTAGTGGTGGGTAATGTATTGTCTCATATTCTTTCCTTCCTTTTCTTTCAGTGAATTTAGCTAATTTTAACGAATTAATTATTCGGTTAGGAATAATTTCAAATGAAAATTAGGAAATTTTGTTCTCACCAGTCTTTTTATCCAAAAATTCAATTCTAGAATTTTAATATTCCATTTTAAAAATCATAGAATGTGGGGGATTGAACATAGCTCCTGAGATATTAGAATTCTTGTTGCTTTTGTAGCTGTCCTTCAATTTCATTTTGAAACTATCATTGGCATATCTTTTTACACTTTGTTCTATTCAATATCTTCGATTTAACATTCTTCTCTACTGTTTCCAAAGATGTTCTCTTGTATTTCAGAATATTAATTTTAAATTCTACCATTGTTTTATTGTTTTAACTGACCTTTTAAATTGTTTCATGGTTAAAAAGCCAATAACTGGATGTTGCGAAGCAATGATAAAGAATTTAAATGTGTTTCTTTTTTCGTCCGTTTGTAAAAGAAGGCCTTAGAAGATTAAAGTGATTTTATGATTTCATTGAAGCATTGATTTCTGTAATCTTTTGATTGATTTCATAGCTTTACATGATTGGATTTACGAACTTTAGGTAATTAAGGACATTTGTTCAATATTTGATGTACACATATCTTAGGTTGGAGAAGCGTTTTTAGGGCATATTAGATTGTCGGTCCAATATTTTTTATGGAAATTTTGCTAAAATTTTATAGAAATGATAATTTGCTAAAACAGCTTTAGAATAACATTATGCATACTTTTTTGCAGTTGATGCGAGTGCGGCAGGATCTGGCAATCTAGAAATTATGATAAACGGTGGCCGTGTGGCATGTCGTGTACGTGAACTGGGAGGACGACATTATCTGGCTTCATTCACTCCCACTCAGGTTCTCTTTTAGTGAAGTAACTGAAACTTATGATCTCACATAGAGCCGTCTTATAATCTAACACATTCCGAGAAAATAGGCAATGCTTAGGACGAAATATTGATGTCATGAAGTTCGAAGTAAAATAACTTGTGTCACAGTCAGTTATACCTAATTATTAGCTGCTATATACATATCTACTTTATTTTGCAAATTAAGAATTTGTTAAAATGAAGTTTGTCGAAAGTTTTGAATTATTTGTAATAAGTGACAAAGGAAGTGTCCTCAACCAATTTCTCATCTTGTGCAAATCAATAGAATTGCGAGGTCGATTTGGCAATAATCGCTTGTACAAATGAATTTTAAATTAAACATTTTTTGCAGGCAATAATACATATTGTTGAAATGCGGTTTAATGGTGAAAATGTCAGAATGTCACCGTGGAAAATTCAGGTTAGAGGTTCTCAGCACCAAACAAATTCAAATTATGATGTGGAAGAACGAATGATACGAAGCATCGAAAGTAGACGGTATGGTACTTGTTTTCATCTAGTGGATTAGCTTTAAAAAAGGCGCTTAAATAATTCATTTCAACTTCAGTATCTCTACAAATTTCTGTTGCACCTTATAGATGTCCAAGTTGAAAGTGCTGTTTTTAAGTTATCATGAACTTCAGAGTCCTTACAAGGTGCTAGTAATGAGTTCTTAATTCAGACAAGTTGCACTGTTATCACGCAAACTGATATTCTTAAAAAGGTTACTAAACACTCTAAGCGCATGAGAAAAAACTAAATTACATTTAAGTACTTTCATATAAATTATGTCATTCTTTTATGGAAAATAATTTAGATTTGAGAAGACCGAATCCTGGTATACTGAATTAGCCGGAATAGGATTACAACGTGCTTCCATTGGTAAACCTACCGCATTCGAAATAACTGGTGATGGTATTACAGAAAGTGATGTACAAGCACGAATATATGGCAAGCTTTTAAAATTTTTTGAAATGCCAAAACTTCATAAGATACGGTGCAGTCCATTCCATTGTTCCTCTTTTTTATCATTTATTTCAATTTTTTTTTTTTTTTTCGTAGCTGTAAGAAATCTTTTAGAGTTCATAACTTTTTGGAAAAATGCTAATTTTTTTAGGTCCTGATGGCACTGATTTACCCATAAGTGTTTATCGACGAGGTGATAACAAGCTGATCTGTGAATATGTTATTAACAAAGTTAGTTATGCCATATTCGGTCACGAAGTTTTGCTAGTTAGTAATAAAATTAATGATATGCAATTTTCACTTTTGTCACTTTATTTTTTCTTTCTATTTATATTATCTATAAGAAGATTATGCAGTCTCAAAGTTATCTTTAACTGATCAAGGGATTAGTGGATTTCATCCAAATTTCCTTGCATTTTCGATCCCTCTATTACTTAGCCAACCTTTTATATGACATTATTAGTTCGTATTTCAATTTCTTTTTTTTGCAGGTTGGTGATCATCACCTCGAAATGGCAATTTGTGGTAAAAAAATCGATCCATATCCTTTAACCGTTTCGGGATATTCCGCTGAAAATGTTAAAATTGAACCCCTTGGTGGTGGTACACCTGGACAACCTGTGCAGTTTATTGGTGAGCATTTTTGTATTCACCTTAATTTAAATCTGTCTATATAATCATCTTCAGACTATTAATTTTGAAATGCTCTGTCTGTTTGTTTCTACTTCTTTTCCAGCACAAAATTTCCAATATGATAGAGTATAACCTCATTAAAGTGAGGTTATGCTATCCTTTACTTAGTCTTACTTATACACTTTAATATGAAATTTGAATTGAGTGAAAGAGTTCAACTACATCGCTTTCTTTACTTTTTTTTTTTAACTAATATTCTTTATTCATATTTATTTATTACTCATTGATATTATTTCGTGAGCTTTTTGAGACAATTTTTAAGTTTAAAATCTGGAATTCTCAAAATTTAAATCCTCTTTTGTTTTGGAATGGTAATGGAAATGAATGTGTTTCTTTCTAGTTTATAAAAAAGATTTGAAATATGTCATGCGATATTGATCGCATAACATTTTTCATATAATTAAAGAGTTTTTGACTGGTCCAACTAGTTAAAGCTATCTTCGGTTTCGGTGGATCGAATGTTAATAATGGATTAAATGCCGAATTAAGACTAAGATTTTCACTGTAAAATTAAATTTTATGGTTGGTAATTTTGATTCCAGAACTTATAGAACTGTCTTCAGATAATAAAGCACCTAAGTTGGATAAAACACTTTCGTAAATACGAAGCAATAAATAACATAGCTTAGTTTTCCAATAAAATATAATAAAAATTTTAGTCTTAATCATCGTTTAATCCACCAAATTTTTTCGAAAATTGTATTTAATCGTAAAACACAAGCAGATCAAGTCGAATTTACTGCCTTATGAGCTTTCACTTTAAAAAAAAAAGAAAAAAATTCTTACTAAAATTTCATATGAAGATCATTTCAGATGAAATTACAAAAGTTTGTAGTATATATTATAGTTGCAGTTGCATATTTCAAGGATTTTTCAATTTTTAATTTTTTTAAAGAATGTTTTTTTTTTTTTTTTTTGATATAAAAGGGAGCAGTATTGTTGTATTCAGCTTGTGTGATGAAAGGGACAGGTTTACTGGGTTTCGTTTCATGCACTGCTGATTTGTTGATAATTATATAGCGTGTAAATCCTTGTTTACTTTATGAAGGACGAATTAGGATAGGTAACCTCCTCATAAATGTTCACATATTTTGTTAGTTCCAAATGCATGTATTATTTTTCCCATTACTTAACTGAAATCGTCTTCTGATTTGATTAATCTTGATGCTCTGTTCAAAAAAATTACTGCATAGTTATCAAAGTTTTTCAATATCATTGGTGATATTACAAATCTCATTTAGGTTCAAAATATACTAATTTCTCCACGTATCAACCCTTCTCTTTCATTCTTGAAGTCTAAAGAGTCTAAGTTGAATAAAAATGTAAGAATTCATGCATGGTCGATCGCCCAGACTTTTTTTCATCACATTTCTTTTCTCTGAAGAATATTGTGCTATTAATAAGTAAAACTGATTTCACTTTATTATACTCAAGAAATTGTTTACCTCAGAGTTCATACAAAAACATTATTACAATATTTTTGGTTCTTTTTTTTTTTTCGGCCAATGCAAGTGCGAAATTGTGTTGCGCAGTTTTATGTATTAAATATATACAATGAAAATCTGTTTAACAATCTAAAATTGTTCAACGGCTTTTAGATTTTGTATTATATTAATTTAATTATAGTCATATTCGCATGTAATGTGCCTATGACAGTGCATTTTAATTTGTACTTATAATGTTTCATATAACTGTGTATTTCTTTTTTCAAGTTACTTGGTTTAAAGTTAAAAAAGTTTCTGTTTATCTTTCATAACATCGTATTTTACCGTAGTTTGTTTATTTCATATCATTCTCCTATTCTGCTTATCTTATCACTGCAACTAACGTTAGACCGTTTTCTTTTATTATGTTATATTTTACGAGCACACATCATTTCAGCAAGTAATGTTGAATTGATACTTAACACTTTTCACCTAATAATAATTGAAGTAGTTCCAAGTTTATTTAATGAGAGTTGTTAAGAACAAAAAAATATTTTAAGCTTAATAATGAATAGATGTTGGAAAGTGGAGTAGAATCGAACTTTGGCAGGAATGAAAAGCCTAGAAGTATATTGGATTCCTAAAAGCGCTCTATAATTTCTTTGATAAGATCGCTATAAAATGTTACTTTTGAGATGATTGAAGAGAAAAGTACACAAAGAAAATTAGTAAGCATTATTGTCAATACTGATAACATTTTAGCTACTTCCAGCAATTATGAAGCGAAATAAAAAATGCGGGAAGGAACAACAACACATATTTCTTTTCTTCAGTAGTAAAGTAAAAAAATCCTGAAATGCTTTTTTTGGTTTTGATGCAAAATTTATGTTCATTCCCATGGCGAATCAGCAAAAAAAAAATATCGGTTTTTTGGTGGATATTTTTAAATAAAATAGTTTGGTGATGAAATTATTCTTTAGGTTTAGGAAATGTTCGAGTCTGCGAACCTTTTATAGCCATTTAAATTCTCGAAGCTCGAGCCACTTGCTCTCTCTCTCTCTCTCTTGAATATGCAAGTTACCCTCTTCCATCGTGTCCAAGTTTGACCTAACAAGTTACCGATGTAACAGTTTTTGCACACGTCGGTAATTTGTTAGATCAAACTTGGACATCTTTGTCACAGTGTTCCATTTTTGCTTCTTGTTTTAATTACCGCATCATCGAGTTGTAGTTTGTGTGCGTCGAAGGCGGAGCAGCTCACTTTGTTCTTTATGCTGTCATTTTTCCTCTTCCATCCATCCATGCATTTTGTGTCGCCCTCAATCGACGACAGGAAAGCAACAGTCACTGCGGTATTGTGCCACAAAGTAGGAAGCTGCTTTCTGGGCGCTGCTGGTTGGTTGGCAGGTGGTATCTCACTGCCTATCAGTACTAGAATATTTTGCATAGACAGTAATCACTGTCAACCAATTACTGTCATTCCCTCTCATCATCAACACTGTTGTCAACACTAGACAGTGTCGATTAAGTAATATCATCACCGTTATCACTAATAGTAACTAACACATTATCTTCTCATCTGTTAACTCCGCAATGTATTATCTACAACAACAGCAGTGACAGCAAAAGTAACATTTCCTATGCTATAATCTGAGCAAAAAATTTCATGCTGAATTTACTTATGGATGGTTATCGATCATCTTATTACTTCTGATATTCTTTGTGTCTTCATTAGTACATCATTTTTTTCAGCTATTAATAGAACGTTTCTGCTGAGTTATTTGCTTATTGTGAATCCATCTCAAACTCAGATAATGCAACAGTATAAATTTCATGAAATTCTGATTTGTTTGACGAATTTTCCTCATGTCTATTTTTTAACTTTTCGGCTACAGTAACTGAAAGTAATTCTGAAATCAATTTTTAAAAAATGAGTCAAGAACGACATTACCTATCCCAATTATATGTTGTGCCTGCAGTTGATGCTGTTGATGCTGGAAAAGGACAGCTGGAAATTAGTATTAATCAAGGAAAAGTACCAAATAATGTACAAATGCAAGGTGCCGGGCGTTGTTTGGTCACGTTTATCCCGCAATATCCAGGCAAATATGTTATCGATGTAACATTCAATGGCGAACAAGTGCAGGGTATGTTTTTTGATTTCAATTCTTTTCATTAATTTCATATAAGATTATCATTTTTTAAAAAAGAGTAATTTAATTCTTTGTTTTATTGAATTCGAAGCGATGGTATTTTTATATGTTGTAACATTATCAGTAGAAGCTATCAGTGAAAGGGCTAAAGTTGACAGTGAAATATACTACAAAGAATAAAGTGAAACATTCAAATTAAAATAAGATCAGTGAGTTAACAAATTTTATTGCATAAAAAGTAAGTTAAATAAAGCTTAGTTGATTAAATAAGCAAATAAACATCATGTTAGTCAATAAATAATAGGATGGACAAATAAATGAAATGATTCAAAAATGATTTTTATTGACTGAAAGTTGTTTCGGTCAGAAGAAGGGCCATAGTTACTTTTTGCGAATGCAATATTGTCTGTTATAACTTCCCCATTCATTCGGCAGTAACATAAAAAGAAGTGACAAATTATTCTTTTAGAGACTTGTAAATATTTATGTTTATCTCCTTCGTTTCTTTTCATCCCGCGATTGAACGCATTTCGCATTTATTTATCCTTCATTTTTTGTTATATATAATAAGTTTTCTATAGATTCTGTTAAAATCTATTTAAATACACGTTTATTTTTTTGAATGTTTCTAATTGTCATAAATGAAGTCTGCATTTGCAATTCTGTTACAAAAATGACAGTTTGAACGAAAACATTTTCAATCATTGAAGAACTTTCATGAATTTACTTTGCCTTGGAAATCAGTGTGATGAAAACTTTTAAAAAACTTTGCAAATGAGAAGTAATGTCGAATTTATTTTCTATCTTGAACTTTTTTTCTTGAGAGAAGCGCATTTGAATCAGTGTATGCGCTTTATCATTAAAGCTGATTTCTTTGTATTTTCAATGCTGAGATGATATTCCATTCTTCCTATTATATTTTCTAAATCAAAATTTACTATTTTTTCTATTTCTTGTTTTATACGACTGCTTCTTCGTTTTCTGTACGTACCATTGAATTTGTCGATCATTCGCTATCAATTAATCTTTTAGCTTCTAGAAGCGCTGAATATTTTTTGGTATGAAATGTTGTAAAATTTCAAATTCTAATCAAAATTTTGGAACATATCATTAAATGACTTCATATTGTCTTTGTTATCAAATTCATTATTATCTTTGTCCTACAAATATTCATTCTGTCTAATATTACATTTCATAGAATTGCTATTGAGAAGTATCATTCCATTAATTTTTCATTCTGATGTTATATTCAAATGATATCAAATCAATACAGACTGAGTTGTAACAACTGTAATAGCAATTTTAAACTGGACATAGTCTGAGTCATATTTTTTAATACTTACGAGAATCTTCAGAGAAAGAAATCTCGATGTATATCGATGATACTTTTTTCTGCTGACATTGCAAATGTATTAATGTATTTTCCAGGGTGTCCTATTCGTGTTGATATTTTACCGAAGCAGGTCGGTCAAAGTGTTTCAACATCTATAATTTCGCAACAGACAGCTACAATTACATCTTCATCTCCAGGTTATCGAAATTTAAAAACTTGTATTTTCAGTTGAATTAATTTCAGAAAATTAATAAAGCTTATGTAGCTAATTAGTAAAATAATGGTTACAGTAGAAACCAAATTTTTCATTCTCGACTGATATAGCGAACAAAATTATCAGTAATAATTCAGAAAAGTATAATAATTGTACAATTGATTGAAAACTGAACATAATGTATCGTACCGGGAAATAGTCTGATTGGCAAATAATTCATTGTGCAAAGCTTACCAGAAGTCTTGTAGAAGTTTCTCTCGTAATATTCTCCAATTCACATTATTGCGTCCATCTTCAGTGGCAGTAATATTTTTTGACTTGAAATAGGTCATTTCTCGACAGATTATGGTTTTCTTTATTGATGTATTTCATTTATTTGTCTAAAAATAAACAAATATGCGAACTTTTACATATATGACCTTAAAGACACAATATGCAAAAAGATTGACATTCACTATGTTATGACATAGTTGTAATGTCATGTTTTGATGTTAACAGCTATTGTTTCTTAGTCATCTCACACCTGTTGAGGTCTTCATTAGTTATAAACTGGTCCTCGTTATCCGGTTTTCGTGAAATAATCATCAGTGAGGGAAGTGTTATTCAATAGAATCTACATCCAAATTTTCTCCAGAATGACTGATGTATTATTGTATTGTTGCTGCCCCTAATAATGCATTATAAAAAAATTCGCACAAAGCAGTAGATGACAGAAATAATTTCACCTTAAAAAATTTTTTTCATAATCCAGAAAATATTTTAGAAAAAAAAAAAAATATATATATATGCATATAGCGGGCGCAAAAACTTTATGTTTGCAAAACGAATAGTAGATTAGAAATTAATGATATCCTTGCTTGGTTTTTAATTTGTATAATTTAGAGCCTTCAAATATAACAATAAAAATATATATATCCTTGCTTGCGTTTTTAGCTTGCCATTGTTAATTTCTTCTCCTCTCCTGCGGCCTTCATAATCTTTTTCTTCAGTGAATCAAGATAATGTTTAAAAATTGCTGCTCTTAACTTCTCAGTTGAATTTAATTTTTGACTGATAATTAAAAATTAAATTGTGCTGGGTAGGTAATGAAGATCTGTATGAAACGAAATATAACTACTTTGATAAATTCTTTCCTTCGTTCGAAAGAGGTAAGAAGTATGAGAATGAAAAAATTGCAGAAACATTCTTACAAGACTGACAGTTGACGGTTGCATCCCAAACAATTTCCTTATGCTTGTTCTCTCGTAAAGTTTTCCATCTAAATTAGATATATATGCCTCTCATAAATATTTCAAAATAAATATTAAGTCCTGTTGTAGTATATTAAAACCCTTAACACCTGGGTGGGTTAGTGGTACAAATCGAATGGATTGTATCATACATTCTTTGTCATCGCCATATTTATGAGTCAGTAAAGGTGGGCATATAAGGAAGGAAAAAGTTGTTGCCAGTTACCTTGTTCATGCATTTTTTAAATTTTGAAACAGAAACAGAAAGACAGATTTATATTATATATGTCAAATTAATTTCTCAATTCTCTTATGGACTTCTAAGTTTTCTTCTGTTTAATATTACCACACAATAGATAAGCTCATCATATCAAAATATTGATTTCTCTCTTATCATCTTTTCTACTTGTTTACTACTTTGTTGCATGTTTGGAGCTATTTTGTAGAATTTTTGTTTTAATTTATCCAAAAAAACTATGTGATGAAGAGGGTAAGATGTTCAAATCTTCATATACATTAAAGAGATACAAAGAAAAGATTAGCTAACTTAATGTTCCCATTGCCCATTCATGCTAGAAATGTTTGTCTGATAATAGGAGGGTATCAATTAATTCATTAAGATTTAACCGTATTACTGATTGAATAACAAATTTGACCCCTATTGAAAGCTTTTGTTCTTGCTTCCAGCTGACATTTCATGAGTCCAATTTAAACTACAAATGAGGAACAGTTAATGCGGGGAAAAAAGTTGATAACTCCAAGTTATATGAAACATTCATGAGCAGTGTTTAGAATTTCCCAGCCAAAATCCTCCATAAAAGCCCTATTTTGCAGTGCAAAAGCCGATATCTTGTGGCTTATCCATAGAAGATGGTGCTGAATCATCCGGTTCTTCCGCATTCCTGAAACACACAAGAGAAAAGTCGCTTGATCGATCATCTCTTCCAGAACGTCCTAAATCACCAGATTTATTACGAAAAGCCGAACTCAAAACTGCTCCTCTTAACATTGAAAATCGGTATAGGTGTGTTATTAAGAATTCTGTCGTCACTTTTTAGAAAATGGACTGCAAGAGCTCAAGGCGCTATTTGACTGTTAAACTGTGTTTCTAAAATTATTGTTCCATTATTGCTTCGACTCAAATTCCATGAACTTAAAAAGCGATTTTTTCTTTCATAGTTTTTATATAAATGCAGCAAAAAATAGTGAACCAATCTTCATCTACTTACATTTATCAATAGTTGATGGTGAAAGATTTTCCATGCTGATTTATTCTTTCACTTTTGGAAAATTACAAAAATGGTCAAAAATTTGATAAGTTTCGAACTTGAAACAACATTTTCAATAGATTCAGCTTGAAATAAAAAATCTTAATTCACTTACCTTCCAACTTTTGGTTTTTTTTTTCTTTTTATTCGCTTTGGATAAAACTTGTATAATTTAGATTACGAAAAATTGATGATTACGATCCATTAGCACGAGAAAAAGAACGAGAAACTGATCAAACATCTTCATGTTTAATTGATAAGAAAGATGATCGACTAGGTTATATGGTAGCCCAGTATGGTAATGGTATAGTTGCTGGTGCTAATGTCGCATCTGGTCAAATAGTCAGTAGTCGAACTTTTACAGGTTTGTACTTGTGATTGCATCGATTTAAATGATAATTGCACATTAAATAGAAAGGGATATCCAGTGAAGTAGATAGAGACAGTGTATTGCAATTGCAGATGATGGACGAGGTATCGTGACGTCCACCTATACAGCCGAAACACGTTATAACAACGTGTCACCGGCTAGGACATATGAGTATGCAAAAGGAACAATGGCGAATTTGCCACATGACGAACGGACTGCTACACCATCAATGTATACAGAAGTCAGAGCTTTTGAAATTCCGAAATCCAAAGAACTGACTTTATCAGTACCGTCTAACCCCAGTGATCTACGTGCAGGTTCACATAGTTACCTATCGTTTTTGGAAGATTCTCAAATACCTTCATCAAGAATTATGGACTATGACATTAATAAGGTCAAATCATTCGGTCAGTTGGAAAGTGGCAGTAGTTTTATAACAGATAGTCGCAGCTATGATACTAAATTTTCAAGTGAATATCGTGATTTGGATTCAAGTAGCTACAGTGTTCGACAATACGGTACGGAAAGTGTTGCGTCAACAGACCAAAGGCAAACGCAACTAAAATATTTTGGTGAAGAATCGATGAAATCAGATGGAACTAAAACATCGAAAAGTGATATTGATTTGGTTAAAACAACTTCCGAGTCTTGTTCTTCGATGCATGACCCAATACCATCTGGTGGATACCTTAGAAATAAATACGATTCAGATCAACTCTGTTCCAATGGATATTTGAAACATGAAGATGAATTACTGGAGACAGTTAAAGGACCAAACTTCGAAGCTCCAGTAATAGCATCTTATGGTCGGCTTATATCAGATAATATAGCTGACAGGCAACAAAAAGCATCACAAAAAATTTTCACATCCGCAACAGTCCTGGAGCGATCCGAGGAAATGGAACGATTGCCGCAAAGTTGGAAGTCAGTTGAGAAGGTAGATGCGAATACTGGATGCTGCCTGAAAAAATCAATCAAAGGTGGGAAACCGGAAATGGGAGAGAATCATCAGCATACAGGTGATATCCGGAAGAGCATCACTTCTTTTGTTTTTTCGTCTCTTTTTTGAGTGGCTGCCTCAACTGATCCATTTCTTGTATTTCGTATTTGAAAGGTATTCTGCCTCTTATCGCAAACTTGTTTCCTGAACTTTGTGAACTTTCAAGTGTCTCGTTTCGGCATTACATATTCAACTACCATTGTCTTTTGTCAGTTGTTAAGCAATAGCATAATGAGCTGTGCAGAATTCCCTTCAAAAACTTAAAAGTATAGTCTTGGAAAAAATAAAAGTTGTCATTTTCAAGGTGTTGGTGAACAAAGTTATCGTAATATGAATGCAGGGAAGAATGATGGACGATGTTTCGATTTGTCACGACCCGTTGAAGAACCGTTTCAAACTTTGAGCAGGTAATTGTAAATTTTATAAAGTATTACAAATGAATAGGTCAACTGATGTATGTGTGGATATATATATGTCGCATACATCCCTTCACATTTTATAAATAACGTAGAATTAAAGAAAAAAAACTAGTTTTGGTATTTAAAAAAACCTACTAATTATGTCCTGAATATTTTTGATTAGTTTTTTCTTGCCAACAAACAAAGTTTTATAATGGGAAATAAAAGCTGAAAGAATGGCAGAAATAAAGGAATGATGTAGTAATGGTACTTACAATTATTGATGCCGAAATTCCAGAGATCGCGACATGGAACCAATGTTTTTGTCTACCGCACCGCAACGGACAGCCGATTACATGCGAGCAAGGGAAGAAGGAAAATTTGGTGCATTCCAGGAGATGGATTCAGTTCTCTCTTCACAAAGGTAATTTATTCTCTGTTTAAATCACTTCTCTTACTTTTACATTTGATAACAAAATGCAGTTTATATCTTAATGGCCATCAAATAGTTTTAAATAATTTAACTACTTATTCTAATACGTTGGCCTTTGTTATTCATTAACGATAATATGTGATACTAATGTAGTTTAAAGGTGTGTATGTCTCGAACTATGTCATCATTTTGATAGCAATATTTGCATAATCATATCTTGAACAAACGATTCAATTTTAACATCACTACGTTACGTAAATGAACTATTTTATTAATTATCGTTTCAATGATATCCTTTCGATGATCTGTTATTACAAAAAAATCAGTTTGATAGTAATACCTAGACATATAATCTTAATAACTGTTTCCTGAATTGCTGAACATTGTAGTATTAGTCCAAGAAAATTAAAACTTAGAAAAACCAAATAATAAAGCAAGTTTATGGGTATTGGTTAAGTTTACCTAAATTTATGATAAAGTTTATGTAAATTTATCGTCTTCTTTATCGAAGTTTTCGAATTTGTTCTGATTTGTGACTTTTCATCAGTTTACTGAAGAACGGGAATAAAAAAAAAATTCCATTTTGAGGAGTCAAAGGGTGTGTATTTGTTCTTGCATAATATAATGCAGAATAAGACAGAAATATAATCTAGTATTTACATAGTAAGGATAATTCTGGACTATAACAATAGTGACTTCGACAGTGACGGCAGATATTAGATGATAAAGAAAAGTTCATTTATCAGTTTCAGATTTTACCAATAATAGTTCCCATTTTTTCCACTTTTGTTTCTTCTGTCTCCACTTCCTTTTTTGTCTAATTATCATTCAGCTCTAGCTCTGAGCAGTTTCAAAGTAGGTGGACCAAAGCAGACTATGAATTTTGTTGTTATTGGAATGATGACCCATGATAATATGGTGACTTGTCATGTTTTGACCCTATTTTTTTTCTTTTCTTTTTGTTTGGTATTGAATTGAACATGTTTGATTTATCATATTATTTCATTTTGCTGATGTATTAGTCGTTTTACGCCACTAGTGTAGTGTCGCACATTCTCAACAACATTGAAGAATTTGGAATTTTATAATTTTATCTTTTTCTTTTTTATTTTTAAAATTCCATGTGTATGAGACAGCTAAAGATGCGAAGAAGAATGTTGGATTCCTTTTGTTAACCTTGATTAGTGAGAATCCGTAGGAAAAATAATTTGTCTTCCAGACTGCAACTTTTTCCCAAAAATCTTTTTCTCTTGGCTGTTAATAATATTTCATTTTACAAAATGATAATACCTATTATTTTAGCCCACTAAAATTCAACTATAACGAACGAGAAGGCCATATAACAGATATTGTGGAAGAAGCAGCACTGACACCAGGAACACGACGGAAGCTTCAGGAACAAAAAATTCAACACGAGGAAGAACTCGACGTATGTTCTAAATCCTAATTAAATTTAAGATTAAAAAAAACCTGATTTTCCAAACATGTAATAAGGAACTTTCACTTTTTTACTTTCTGTTAGACTATGTTTTGTTAACTTTTGGAACCATCCTAGCTATGGATTTGACAGATTTATTTTTGATTGGTTGGATTTACGCTACGGAGTTAATACGTCTTTGTATCTTTCACGCAGTCACTTCACAAAGCATCTGAGATGAATTGTCTTTTTTTTTTTCAAAAGGTTTCCAGAAGGCTTTCGTGATTGATATTCTGGCGTTTTTAAAGAGAAAAATAATTAAATTATTATAATTTTTGAAATTCTCTCACGTTTAAGCTTTTTTGCCACAAATAGAAATATTTAGGTTTGAATATTTTTAATTTTATTTCCCTATTTGATCCATATATAACGATTTGATTAAGTGAAAACAAATAATTCAAGTTTAAGTGTTGAAGTTTTTCTAGTTTTTTTATTTAACCTTTGCTTTATTTAACCCTTGCTAAATAAATTCAGCAGGAAAAACGCGGAGGAGCACGTAAAGCGATAAAAGACGACTTGCAATCAATGCAAGCACTGGACCGTGACGAATTTGAGTTATCTCAGTCGAAACCCTCAAGTCCTTCACCTGTGTCCACACCTCGAGCAACTCCTAGGCTTAATCTGAAATTCGGAAAGGTTTTTTTTTTTTTTGTTTTGCGTTGACGTAAGTTGTATTTGTCAGACTCAAATGTTAGCAATGTTTTAGAAACTTAGAATAGATAGCTATCAGAAATATTGTCACGTGTAAGAAGATGTTTCAGACAACACTGTAAAAAGTATCAAGTTATACTGCCCTCAGACATTTTCCTAGCAACTCTAAGAAAATAAACTATTAAAAATAAACAATTATATACTGAACTTAATTTAATAACCTATTCATAATTTTAAGCTTAATCCAGAACTATAGCTTTTTTAATCTATTAAATTTATCTCTTACTTTTTTCCCTTTCTTGAAGTGGACAAATCTGTGCGATAGCCAAATTTTCCTCTTCGTCTAGTCACTTCAACAGTCTACTCGATTTGTTGAAATAAATTTTTTCTTCCACATAGTAGTCAGTGATACATATTGTCCAGATGTTTCTTACAGGATAAGGAAAAGAAAGGGATTGAAGAAGGTGCTTTTAATTTTGGTAAGTCTAAAATAACATCTAAACATGAAATTGTTCGGCGTGGAAAAGATGTTGAAGTCAAGGTTGATTCGTTGAAACTTGGCAAAGACGATCAGCTAAAAGTTATCGTAGTTTGTAAGTTTTACATGGTATCATTCAGAAATCCATTCATATTTGTTCAGTCTTTCACTAACTGATAACAAACTAAGATTGAGGTAATTATTGGGCGAAATTTAATGAGTCGTTCACTGATTGAAAATGATATTAGTTGTAAGCTATCTTTGTAAGCTATTGTAAGTTATATATATATATATATATACATGAAGATTTTTCTTCCTGGTACAATTTGAAGAAAATTTTGTTACTATCTACGACTACTTTTACTATCAGTGGTGATCCTTTTGTACTTCTTACTTCATTTTATCTTTAGCTTTTAAAAACCGTTGCAGTAGCAGCAAAAGGAGCGGTAGAACGTGAAGAAATTGAACCAAAACTGAAAAAATCTCGGCATTCCTATGAAATATCATTCCGGCCAGCAGAAATTGGAACACATAAGGTACTTGTCAATGATATTTAAATAGTACATTGCTGCAACTTTGATTTCAAACGTCTACTTTTTTTTGCAGTCTTTTTTCTTCTCTTTCATATTTCTTCGATTTTAAGGCAATGAACTGAGCTAATTATTGGAATTGAAAATTGATTCTCATGACTTGTTATTGTTCATTTAATTTAAACATTTCATACGACTGAAGTTGAATTCATTTTGATATTTATTTCATAAAGAGTTAGTAGTTTTTGAATTGTTAAAAATTGTTGAAAATAATTAGTTTAATTTTGAGGTAATGATTTATGTAAACGATACGCTGCATCCAATGTGTCCTTTCCCGATTCGTGTCTATGATGCATCAGAGATTATTGTTGGCGAAATTGCACCACAGAGTACTATTAATGACACTGTTGAATTCACCGGTTAGCTTTGAAAGATCATAATGGACACTTGAACCAAGCAGTATTTAAGCATTAATCTATGAAAGGGATAGCTTTCAAATTGTAGGTGGGATTAGACGGGAAACTAACTGTAATGTAATTAATTACAGTCAGTTTCAAGACCTAGCTACATATTACTTTTAAGTTACAAGTATAGTTAATGGAGACAGGCGGGTTGTTTTGAAGAAAATAATAAGTCCTATCTTCTGACCTAAAAAAAATGACATTTTGCACTTAAGAAAGTTTTTTGTTTTCTTTACTATCCTATAAATTTTTCGTTATTTCAAATATAAAATTATCATATCAAATGTTTCAAATATTTGTTCGTATTGTGAATACAAAACTGATGACACACTGTTACAGTTGATGCTGGCCGAGCGGGTTTTGGAAATCTTGAAATGGCAATTAAAGATAGTGATGGTATCATCATACCATCTCATGTAGCACAGCTGGAAACGGGAACTGCCAAATTTTTGGTTACATTCAATCCGACCACTTTAGGAATGCACACTGTCAATATTACATTCAACAAAGAAGTCCTCAAAAGTATGCTAAATTGCTGAATTATTTATTGTCATTAACCTATACAGTCTTTCTTTAGCTTCTTTCACTGGTTATCGTTTCCCTAATTTCGAAAATTTCTGTTTGATTTTAAAAAAGGTATCAAATTAAGGTACACTCAATTTATTGTTTGATTTTAGACAGTCCATTCGAAGTAAATATTGTGGATGAAAAGCCATGCGAAGAGGTGGAAAATATGTATGCTTTACTTTTCATACTTTTGAATTTGATGCAAAAAATGTTCATGAATTTTACTAATCAAATCTTAAAAGGTACATCTGAAAAGAGTTGGGGAATGGAAAAGTTGTTAAATTTAGACTGAAATAAAACTTACTAAATTAGCATTGTATATTTATGATGTGTTGAAGTTTGGTGGATGGAAAGAAAAAAGATTCACGGAAGGAAAAGGAAGAGAAAAAACGTGAAGAAAAAGAACGCGTGAAAAAAGAGAAAGAAGAAAAATTGATGGCTGAAACGTTAAAAAAGAATAAGGTATATTATACTTATTTCACTTAGTGCAAATAAGAAAATCTGAAATTCATTTCCTTATTTTCTTAGGGAAAAGAAACAAAAAAGAAGAAGCATCAAGTAGAGAAGAGAACAAGCGTTTCCAAAATTCCATCATTAAGTCGGGTTGGACGACCAGCACACATCTTTATCACATTGTCCGGCGAAGAATCGCTTGACATCACAGTGGCAGGCAAGTTTTAAGATCTTCTGATAATAAATTTTGAAGTTTATTTCCTAAATATGGATGACAAAAGAATTTCAGCCTTATTTGCGAAGTTTTTCAGTTTTTAAGGAATGGTGCGCATTGCGCATAGTCGACCATTTCATGAAATTTGTATTTCAGATCCAGAAAAAAGAAAAGTTGAAAGTTTCATGTCCGATCATGAACCTGGCGTCAAGAAATTTGAGTTTATACCTGTGCAAGTGGGTAAGTCTACACATATCTCCGTGTTTCAAATTCGTTTGGTCAAACTTAACTATTTTGACATTGCTCGTGTTTTGTAATACAATATATGATCATTTTTTTTTTTTTAATTCTGTCTTTTTATTTTGCCCAAATTTTTTTTCTTGTTTCCTTTAGTTTATTATATTTTGCTCTGTGTTTCTTCTACTCTGTACCGAATATTTTGACTATTTTGGTGCTTAACTTTAGTATGAACAATTCGTCGTTTCAGGTGATCATGAAATCGAAGTTAAATATGCGGGAGTTGATGTTCAAGGTAGTCCTTTTACCTGTCGAGCATATGATCCAGCAAAAATTAGCGTCGGTGATATTCCGAATAGTTTGGTCGATAGGCCAGTGCATTTCATTGGTTTGTTTTTGCTTAAAATTGAAATGACAAGTTTAAAATAAGCTTCTTATTCTGTGATACAATTTGGAGTAAATTAGAAGCGTACTCCTTACAAAATCATCCTACAATCTGATTCTGCTCAGTTCGTGTCATATTTAGAATAGGCATATCTCTCATTGGAAACACTGATTTTCATGCGCTTTATAGTGGATGCAAGTCAAGCAGGTGTCGGCAACCTGGAAGTAGCAGTAAATGAAGGACGTATTCCATCAATGGCGCAGTCACTTGGCCAACATCGTTATGATATATCTTTTGTGCCTAGAGAACTTGCTGATCATACCATATCTGTTCGTTTTAATAATGAACCTGTGCCAGGTAAGCAAAAATTAAAAAGGTACGCAATATTAATGAGTGAGATCTTCTTATTCTGAATCAGTTTCTCAATAGAGTGATGATTGTAGATGTTAAAAGAAGGATTAAATGTGAGGGAATAGATTGAAAAAGTCTTGTTTTATAAGGAAAAGAAAAAAGGTGTAAGGATTATTTAGCTTTGTTTCAAATTATTTAAAATTTTTATTAAAATTTAACTATCAAGTTTGTACCATTCTTTCTTCAGCTTCTTTGATCGAAGCACTATAGAGAAAAAGAGACAAGTAAATTAATAAAAAAAAAAAAAAAAGAATGGCGAGTGTAAATTAAAAGGAATTCTTCAGCTTCGATTTTCTAATTTTTACAGCACATAAACTTAATTTAGGAAGTCCATTCATTTGTCACCTGGTAAAGGCGCAGTCGGTAACAGTTTCGGGTCCCGGATTAGAACGAATCCCGGTTGGACAAGTAGCACAGTTCTACGTAGTTGTTGAAGGTATGAAAGATATGTTACCGCAGATACGCATTACCGATTCGCAAGGTAAAAACATTCCAGTGAGCATATCAAAAAATGATGTTGAGGATAAGAAGTATATCATCTCCTACACACCAAAGAACGTCGGAAATCATCAAGTGAGTAGCATTTCATGTATAAAATATGTACATCACCACTTCATCTAAAATGAGATTATTTTAATATTTATTTTTTTAATATATGAAATAATAAGGGACAACATGATTGATTTACTGTATTTATGACAATATTTCTATCATTGTGTATCTAACTAAATAAATTTGTACTTTCCACTTTCTCTTGACTTCTATAAATTACTTTTTTGATGAAAGTGAAACATGTTTTTTCATCTTTGCTTGATTTCCATTTTTGTTTTCCACTAATTATTACTTTGTGAATGGAATAAAGATGCAAATTTTTGTGGTTCTAATTTTCAGGTTGATATAAGCTGTGATGGTAAGCCGATTACTGGATCTCCGTTCACTTCCAAAGCATTTGATGCGAAATGTGCAAAGCTGTCGTGCATAGAAGAAGCAGTTGTTGGGCGTCCTTGTACATTCATGATTGATGCTGCTCGAGCCGGGGCTGGTAACATGGAAATTATAGTCAGTGTTGAAAATCGAAATGTGCCAAATTTCGTGCAGGTTTGGATGCTATCATTAATTTGTATTGGTTTTCATAACTTGAAGTGAGGAGAAAAGTGCTCACGAAGTTGGAATTAATTAATGAATTAGTGAGATAATAAAGGGAAAATGAATGTACAATCGTCGATAATCGTAATAATCTTTTTGTCTGACGATCGAAACAATCGACAGTATAAGGAGTGGACAATCGTGCCTAACCAGATATTTTGAGTTGATTATTTTTAGGCAGAAGGACAGGCGAAATTCAAAGTTTCGTTTACTCCACAAGAAGCCAAAGATCATCTTATAAGTGTCCGGTTCAATGGGGATCCAATTCCAGGTAATTATAATTATTTCTTTTCTGCAAAAAAACTTTATTATGGAATGTCAAATTGAAGGTTGAATTATTCCTTCATTATTTTTAGTTTATAATTGAAATGAAATACCAGGTGCTTTAGTGCCGTTATTTTCTATCATCGTAAAGCATTATAAAATTTTCTTGTTACGAAATCTTATCATTTCAGCAGTAGTTCCAAAAGATGTTATGTCATAGCAAACTGAAATGATGTTGTTGCTTATAATTGAATTAATCCTAGCTGGGCCTCGTTCAACTAGTAAATAGGCCATTACCATGTCTCTCAGTTACACAATTTGAGGTTCACCAATGGTTTGTCCGGTGCGAGAAAAATCATCACAGTTGGCTGCGGCTATGTCATCGTCGATGAACGCCGTTGGATTAGAACAAGACGTGCGTCTGGTTGGTGACCTCACTGTCGGACAGGTGTAGTCTTAAGTTTTATTGGATTGGGTAACTTGGGAAAACTTTTTCGAGCAATTTCGCATAGGTTTTTGTCTCCAGTTTAAAGTTGGACATGTTTCACTCCCATCAAAATAGTACTTTCTAGAAATCAAGCGAAAGTGGGAAGCGCAAGCTTATTTAGTTAAATCTATAATTCTTTTGCTTAGGTTGGTCAAACGAAGGGCTTCAGCATCGACACAGGAGGGCGTGAAACTGATTGCAATGTCTCCATTACTGGTTGGTTTCTGAAATTGTTGTTGCTATAACATGTTGCTTATTTCACAAAATAGGAGATAAGTTAATAAAAAGTTAACATTAACATATTTTCCAAAACTTATGGTCATAGAATCATTAACATTGATAATGCATTTACTTAAATTGAAAAGGAAAAGAAATTAGGTGAGTTTTGCACAAAAGTAAATGTATAGATATCACAGACAACACTTACTGTTGTTTCTTCGGCTTTGTTAGAAACGTCTTTTACGCACAAGTTGATATGGATGCTTTTGCTTAAAGCTTCAATTTGTCATTGTTTTACTTGTTAAATTGTTACTGTCCTCTATTTGTCCGTATTCCGTCTGTATTTGGTTGGTTTCGACGTGTTGCACAGAGGAATGCTGAAATTCAGATTCACATGGTCATGAGTTGGATGTTGAAGTGGAAAAAGTTTGCAATGGATATCATGTTCAGTTCCGACCTTTGACATCAGGTGTCATTTTTCCTTGTCACTAGTTAATTACTGAATTCGATTTCATCAGTGTTGTATTAGATATGGTTGATTTACCAGTGAGCATTGAGAATGAATGAGCGTTTAGAATTTGTTTATGTGATACAATCACAATCATCAAAAAATTTTTTAAAAAACTTTCTGCTTTATCATATATTTCAAATTCTGTTAGAATTATCAATTTTGGAAAGAATATAGTACTTGCTAGCTTAATGTTTCTTTTCATTGTTACAGGAGAACATGAAATTGAAATCGTTATAAACGGCCAACAGCTCGGTATTGGGCCATTTGTGATGGAAGTTTCGGAACCTCCGAAAATCGCTCGCATCCCATCGACCATTCTTGCCGGCAAAGAAATCAGTTTTGAATGTAAGTTGCTTTAATAAATAGGAGTAATTGTAGTAAGTATCAATTCAAAGAAAGGAAATTCGCCAAACAGTCATTTCTGTCAGTCAAACAGAGTTTAAAGAGTTTGGGGAAAGCAAATTAAATTTTAAAACAAAATATGTTAAAATATTTTTTATCTTTTCGTGACATTCATCTCCAGATTTTTCTTTTGCAGTGGACACAGGTGACGTTGCGCAGGGGAATGTCAAAGTAGAAGTTAAGAACGCTAAAAATGAATTAGTGCCAGCAAAAATAGAAGTAGGAAATGATGGAATTGTTCGAGCTGTTTGCACGTGAGTGTTTTTATGACATTATAGCTTTTGAAACGGAATAGGTGTTAGGGAGAAAGTTGTGAGAAGTTAACTGTTGGTCATCAAAGCTAGTAAATTGTAAATTCCACAGCAATTCTGAAATACTTATGCATGGATGTTTTGTATTGGGTTTACTTTGGATACTCCATCGACCTTGCATTGACATGAATGAAATAAAAGATTGCTGCTGTTAGAATTTCTTAATTCTGAATTCTCCGTCCTATTTTTTATTTGTTTCAGATTTCATGATATAGGCCGTTATTCTATGGATGTTTTTGTCAACGAAATGCCTTACGGTGAACGACAATATGTTCAAGTTATTCAAAGTGGTCGCGGTGCTATACTCGTAGATGACATTGAACAAGCTTTGGTTGGTTGGTCATCTAAACTGATTCTGCGAACCGAACCTGATGCCGGGAAACATTTGTCTATTGTTATCATTGGTTAGCTCATCTGCTTAAGTTTAATTTTTAATCGTTTAATAAATGCTTTCACAATTATCGCTTATCTTTGAGTGATGGCTTCTTTTTATTGATTTCTCCAAAACATTCTATTCATATTGAAATGGACAGCAAGTATTGTTTTGCATAACTATATTTTTGAAATACATATATTATTTATATCGCACTAGGAGTTTCAAATTTTGGAAACCAAACTTCTTGTATAACGCGTCAATCTCGAAATTAACATATCGGAATTAGTTTTTCTTCATCTTTCAGATTCAGAACGAAATCCAGTCCCAGTATCACTGGCGAAACTTCCTGACGGAATATTCGAAGTGGAATTCACACCACGAACAGAAGGTGTTCATAGTATATCAGTGCTGGTAGGTGACGAGCATATCCGAGGAAGTCCATTCAAAATTACGGTACTGGATTTGAGCGCTGTACGAGTGATCGGTTTGAAAAATGATCGTGTTGGCATCGAACAACGTTTCAATGGTTGAATCATTTTTAATGTGTTTTTTATTAACGCTTGCTTATTTTGTATTAATACCATGAAGATATTTCATGAGAAATTTTCAGAAATTTAATTGATTTCGAAACTTGACAATTCTAATGACTTTTCAGTGGATTGGTCGAATTCGGGTGGTGCCACTGCAGCAGTACGAGTAACATGTGGAGGTAAGGAGGTACCATGCACGATGAAGCGTATCAAAAAAGGCCTACATGTATGTTCATTTATACCACGACAAGTTGGACTTCACCTGATAGATGTGATGATCGATGAAATGCTTCTACCTGGTATAATTTCCTAAGCGAAAAAAAAGAAATTTCATGTACTGAAGAATTATATTTTTTGACTTTTTCACTTTCCATTCGGTTATTTAAGACAATAATTGTGTATGAAACTTTCCTTTTAAGCCTTAAAAAGTAATTTTTATTTGGAGAAATTTTTTTCCTTTTTTTTTTACTAATTCTTTTTAAGTTGTTATGAGTTTGTGATTTTTCTTAGGATCTTTTTATAATTCAGATTTTCTTTTTATATTGCAGAATGTCCATATGAATGCATTGTAAGTGATGCTGGATCAGTGCGAGCACGTGGTGATGCATTGACACGTGCACAACGTGGTAAAACTGCTCGTTTTGAAGTTTCATTGAATGACACTGAACGAGGTGAACTGGATGTAGTGGTTTCAGGTATTTTTTCTGCATTGGGAATAATGATTTTGCTAAAAGATGATTTTTGATTTTAATAAAAGTAGGAAAATCAGAAATCAGGAGCACATATATATTTGCTGTGAGTTCCTAAAATTCTAAATTTTTTCCTAATATATACAGAAATCCCAAACGACTTTTGAAAGTTCGTATACATTGCGCATTATTAGAATTATTATTATCAAAGTTTTCACATTAACTAATGAAATAGCTTTTAAATTTAGTGCTGTATTGTGGTACACTATCAATTTAAAATATGTATATATATATTTTAGGTGCAAGTAAATAAAGAAGTGGAGAATATATTTCATTTTACTAAATAAGCTAATTTCAGGTGTATGTTATATCTTTAGTAAAATTACGTGTTGCGAGATTTTAATTATTTTTAGTTCACTGTTGTCGTTATTGCACTTTGTAATACGTTATATCACATGTTTGTATTGCCCACGCTGCAGTTTCACTAATTTATGCTTATTTTTAGCATTCGGTTTTTCTGCTCGTTTGATTTCCTTTTTTCAGATTCGCGAGGTAGACCATTACCAGTTCGGTGTTATAAGCAACATGATGATAGCTATTGGGTCGAATTTACACCTGAAAACATCGGTAGCTTTTTCATAGAAATAATTGAAATAAAAAGCTTCAGAGTTGAAAGAAATAAAATTTTAGCATTGTGGAAATTAAGTTTGATTTAGATTTGATGAAATTCCCTTGTGTCTTTTTTCTGACTTCTTGTTCTCTAGTTTCATCATTCTTCTGAAGTGGCGTAATGAGTATAACTCACTTGTACATTTTGCTTTGATTTATAGCACTCATTTTTTATGTTCGGGGATTGATTTTCGGTCTTCATAAAATTGTTTATGAACTTAATTATTAGTCCCTGTAAATTTGATGTATGTGTTAAAAAACAGTAAATTCTTAGGTTATGAACCCTTTTCTATCTCTCGATTAGTTTTGATTTCTTGCATTCTTATTTCTGTTTAACAAGCAGAGTGTGTCATTCACGTGTTTTTAAGATACTTTTAAGCGCGTCACATAGATAACCAGTGCGATAAACTTGAAACCACAAACAAGTTGTAAATTGTTGATGAAAAATTTAGCAGAGCCAGAATATGTAATGCTAATGTTAAAATAAAAATTCAAGCGAAATTACTTTGATTTTATGAATAAATTTTCAATTAACTTATATTCCTATATAAGCATTCAACTTATGTTTCAATTTATTATTTGTTGTCGCTTCATATAAGAAGACAGATCGATCCTCTCAAATTTCCCTTATTTTCTCCACAAGTCTTTCTGTAATAAATAAATTTTTTTTTTTCAAAAGTATTCGCGAGTTCAGTCTTAAACTCAGGCATATATTGATTAAATGGTATACAGGTCCTGATCAATTTTTTCTTGAAGCTTATAAATCTTATCTTCCAGAAGTTGCAATTTCTTTTTCAGGTGTTCATCAAATCGAAATAACATTTGCTGATGCACCAGTAGTTGGCAGCCCATTTAAATGTATAGTAGTCGATCCACGGAAAGTTTTTATGAAAGGTATCAATGAGCCATTCATTATCAAACAACCTGCGCTAATTACGGGTAAGTTCCTTTGAGTTTGGTTTTCTGCGTATTTGTTTTCTCGTAGCATTATTATTGGTATATCTTTAGAATTTTTTGCTGTTGATGAATTTAAAAATCTAAAGAATTTTTATAGTGAACCGTCAGTTAGCAGGTAGCGGTGACTTGACTGTTGAATTGATTGACCCGTCTAATGAACCGGTGCGATTAGATATGCAAACAACCGCCGATGGTGATGATATTTTCGAATTTACTCCGACCAAAATTGGCCAATATAAGTTGACCACGAAACTGGCTGGTTTTCTTGTTAATGGTAAAAATTTAAATCATAATTTAAACAATAACTTAGGTAAAATAATTTAGATAATAATAATATTTAGATAATAATTACTACAATTATCCCTTGCTATCTTCTCGCCTAATCTGTATTCGCCTGTATGAAATCCACAATTAATAACAATAATAAGAATACTTACTGTTTACGTTTCAGGAACTCCACATACATTGACTGTTGAGGAATATGGCAAACCTATTTTGCGTGGATCCGCCATGGAACGTCCCGTGGAGGTGGATCGTCCAACAAGCATCATTTTTGATGCCAAAAATCTAAAAGGAAATCTGAAAATCGATGTACGAGGTATAGAACTTCCATTTTTATTTTCGCTTTTTTATGATTCCTAATGAAGCTTCTTTTTTTTTTTTTCGCTTTTCGAAATTTAATTCTTATTGGAGACAAATATTTGATTTATGAAGCTGTATGTGGCACTTTCTTCAAAAAAATAAATAAATAAATAACATGACGTTTTTGCATTTTCGAGAAAGTTTTGTATGTTCGCAATTTTTTGTTGATATGAATTTGCATCTTAATGAAATTTCAACAAATTAGAAAAAAAAATTCATGAACAGGACCAAAGAAAGCGAAAGTCCGGTATACAGCAAACAAAAATCCAGACGGAACAACGGAAATTTCGTTTACACCAACGGAAGTGGGCCGTTATTTAGTAAATATTGAACATAACAATCGAACGATTTTCGGTAACTTTTTTTTGTGGTACTGTTAACTTTCTTTTTCACTTAGTTTTAGTTTATGATTGCTAATATGAAGCAGCGGAGTCGATTTAGGAAGTCCATTCGAGATCGAGGTTATTGATCCACGGAAAGTGGTTGTGAATGATCACTTAGCCGATGAAGATGGAATATATCAGTTCGCAGTACAACAGAGAAACGTTATCGATGTTGATGCCACAGCCGCCGGATCTGGTAAAAAACTTGTCTCATAAGTTTTGAATATTTCGAAGATTTTAAGGCTCTCATAATTAGATAATTTTAACTGTAGGCTAATTTATTCATAACAAAAATTTTAGCTGTATCATTTGATAGCGACAATTGGTTGTTTTATCATCCTTATTTGCTTAAGCGAGTTCATTTGAACACAGTAAAAATGTTTTTGGATTTCTTGCAATTAAAATTTTTAGGAAAACTTCGAGCAGAAGTTCGTGATTGGGACGGCAAGTCAGTGAGTGGTTGTGATGTCGAATCACTCGGTTATGGCAAATATCGTATAGCATATTATCCGCATCAACCTGGAAAATATGGCATTTATCTTTACTGGTCTGATATAGCAGTCCAAAAAGCGCAGCCATTGCACGTAGTCGCTGAAGGCGAACAACCCTCGACCTCACGTATCATGCCACTTACAAATACTGCTATGGCGACATCACACAATACCGTAAGATCTCGACCTGAGTAAGTAGCTTTCAAATTGTTTTCAGTAACTTAAATAGTTATCAATTAGGTAAATTTTTAAAAGTCGTTGCGAATGGAAAATTAATTTCTGATATCATCCAACCTAATTTAGTTGAAAAATAATATTTGGTTAAATAAAAAGCAAATCTGAAGCATGATATTGTGGGATTGTGATCGGTGCTGCAGTTCTGTCTTATGGTTCAAGACCCGTGTTTTTCAACATATTTACTATTTCTGTTTGTAATGTTTGTGGAAAAAGTGAGCCTAGAGTGAATTTTCAATTTCTGGATATAATCGAAATAACCTAAATTTTGATTCTTTTTTATAAATATCGAGATTTAGAGATCGTTCAACTTATGAGGGGAATGAAATGGACTACTTGAGGGTGATATTACGAGGCGAAGGCTTAACACGAGCTGCCAATAATGAGCAAGCGGAATTTATCATCGATGGTTCGGATGTCTCCAGAGGTTTGTCATTCTTAATTGCAAGTTTTATTATAATTTGTTTGTTGGGTTACTTCTATGAATGTTAACTTATGAGGGTTTAAATTCAAGATTTTCCATGACTATAAATGATTGTGGTATTTCAAGTGAGTATTTCAGATGGACAGGTATCATCTTCTTTGTTTGGACAAAAAGCAGATATCCCAGTGCGCTTAACTCATTTGGGAAACAACGTTTATAAAGCGATCTATACGCCATTGATACCTGGCGTTTATGAGTTACAGGTTCAGTTTTATCAAATTTGACTCAGATTATTCGCTTATCGATGTAAAGTTACTTTTATTTCACGAGTCAGCTTGATATTTACCAACTGTTCCATTAGAGACAGGTTGATAGTGATTATCACTTTTTTGAATCCTAAAATTTCAAACAGCATTTATAATTCTTCTATATCGTCAGTATATAGAAGAATTATAAATGCTGCGAATATTTGCATTTTTATTGCAGGTATTATGGAACGGACACCATGTTCGCGGTTCACCTTGCCGAGTGCAGGTTGACTTGCATTCGAGTGCTGCTGAGGCTATCATTATCGATGCGAACACATTGAAAATGGGAATCGTTAATGAGGATGTGAAAACTATTATTGATACAAGGAAAGCGGGACCAGGTGTGGACCTTCTTTCTTTAATAATCTCATTCTGATCTAGAACATTTCCAGAAGCAATACTTCAACGTGAAACGTTGATATTTCCACAGAAATTTTACTTTATGGTATTGCTTTATATGCTGCTTTGACGCATTACTTAGATCCCTATTGTGGCATTATTTTCCTACTCCGTTAGCAATACATAATAAAAAAATAATGGTAGCGCTAAGTGCCCGGTGATATTCATGATTTTCATTACCGATTCTCGGAAAGCATTAAATTAGGAATCATATAGAAAATGTTTTAACTACAAATATATTTTTTAGAACATTGTGTTTTTGTTTCAGGTCAGTTATCTGCACAGTGTATGGGGCCAACAAAACTTGCCTATTGTGAGCTGTATGATCTTCAGGATGGTACATATACCCTTTCAGTTAGACCTTCCGAAATTGGGAAACATACGCTAGGTAATTCGCTTCCTCATTAATCTTATCCTTCAATCATAGAACAGTTTGAAAGTAGGGAGAGAAAAAAGGTGACACTTACTGATGTTTGATCCATTTCGTCTTACATCTCTTTTTGCATTCCTGTGTTTTTTGATTTCAAAGTCTCTGCTTTATTTGCATAGCACTTAATTACGTGACTAATAAAAGGAACGGAGAAATACTTTTCATTTCATTTGTTTCAGTTGTGAAATATTCGGATGAACAAGTACCGGGAAGTCCATTTACTTTCAATGTTTCCTATCCGCCAGATGCTTCTAAAGTTCGTGTATATGGACCCGGAATTGAGCATGGAATTTTGTCCACGTAAGCTGGCACTTTTTTAATGATTTCGTTTTTATTATCAATTTTTTACGTAGTCATTTGAGCCTCATCCAAAAAATGTAACTAGTGGTCATTTATCCCTTTTATGCATATTTTATATCGTAGATGTACTAATGAATAATTAAAGCTTTATTGCAGATTTAAATCAAATTTCATTGTGGAAACAAAAGGTGCTGGAGCAGGACAGCTTACAGTGCGTGTTCGAGGACCAAAGGGAGCATTCAATGTAGAAATGCAACGAGAAAAGAAACAAGAACGAACAATTCATTGCAAATATGAACCAAAGGAACCGGGAGATTACCAGGTTCTGTTTCATTCCATTTATCACTCTTAAAATGAACTTAAACGTTTTGAATATTGGAATATATGAGATAGGTGAACGAAAAGAGCTAGAATTAGAGGTATAAAAAGTGGTGACATTTCGGGATAGTTTGTTACTTTTGGCAGTGTGATGCAATTGTTTCCAATTACAACACACTGATGTAATTGTTTTTGCTTTTAAGTGCATAAAGTATTTAATTTTAGGTTGAAATTAAGTGGCATGGTGAACATGTCCCAGGATCGCCGTTTCTCGTAATGATTGTAGATACCGAGCAAGAATTACAACGATTCCTGTGTGGTGATGCACCATCACCACAGCCAGCAACACCATTTATACCACCTGGGTGGATTGGCACTCCGCCACCACCACCGTTGTTCCTTGGTGTACCTCCACCGCGTGGTCCGTTTCTTCAGCCTCATGCTGCCGTACTGCCTTTGCCATCACCAACTATTCAGGGGGCTCCAGTAACGGGACCGCATGGGTCCTTGCTGCCATATGGAGCGGTACCGCAACCACCGCATACAATGCGTACCGCAATTCGACCTAGGTTTATGAGCGGTTATTGATAATTTTAGCAAATGTTGAATTGCCTAAAATATTATTTCCGCTACTTCTAATCAATGTGTCTTAAATGTTTCCACTAGTATTCGCAATAGTGCATTTGTGGTCTATGTGTGAGTGTGTGTGTGTGTGTGTGTGTGTGTGTGTGTGTGTGTGTGTGTGTGTGTGTGTGTGTGTGTGTGTGTGTGTGTGTCTTTAATTTTTGCATAACAATATAAATAAATTAATGATTTTTCACAGTGAAAATCTTGAACCCTCCAAAAATTCCTGGAAGTCTTCCTTAACCGCCTGGTATTTTTCCTCTTTTTGAAGCAGAAGTTATCCTGAATGTAAGGTTTTTCATATGTTTAACTTTAAAAATATACATATTCATTTTTTATTCCTATGATTTGTTCCTTTTTCCAGTTACTTATTGTAGTGACAAATTCTATCTTTCATAAGCATTGAGGGAAGGGGTGGAACTTGTTTTTTAACAGAAACTTTATGGTTTGTATCTCATGGAATTCATATATTCCATTCAAATAGAGTGGATATATTTCAGCGTATTTCAGCGGAAAAATTCAACTTTCAAAATAATCATGTTGTGTTGCTTGAAACTGAACTCAGATAGAGTCAATACTGTTCTGTTTATTTCAGACGTTCAAGAAAATTCTGTTCTGATTCGTTGAAGTCATTACAAAATAATGATAATCGCGTTTGTTCTATGCTTTTGTGAAGGAAGTTGAATTCCTCATTGATTTCTGAGTATTTCTATTGTAGTATAAAAGAAAAAATACAATTTAGAGCAATACATAATTTATTTGGATGTCTTTAGCCAGTCTTATCACTACCGTCCTTTTATCGTATTATATTGTAATTTTGATAACTTGTAAAATGTGGTTTTGACAAGGTTCAATTTTCCTGTTACGTTTCATAACTTTATTCTGTCATTTATAGATTACCGATCCGCTCATCACTGTGCCTAGGATTCTTTCTTTCTAGCTCAAGAAATTTTATCACTAAATGTTGTCACATTCTTGTGTAAGAACGACATTAGTTGCTTCACTTCATTTCTATGGTTTCTCTCAGTTTAATGCGGTTTTTAATGTAAATCCCTTTTATCATTCACCCAACCGTACTTTCTCGCCATGAAATACAAATTTGTGTTAAAAATTACGAAAAAAAGCTCGGAGTCATTACACCAGAGTGTTCAATGTGCAACAAGGAATCAAAATTTTGTCAACCGATCATTAATATTTCATACGCATGCGAAGATAATATAAGGATTATTAACCGGTCCTTTCTCACCAGTATTAATCAAAGTGTTCATTTTAGTGGTACTATCAGTACTACCAGTTTCATGATTAAAACTGTATTTAAAATTTATTCCTCAAAAGTAATTTAATAGCTTGCACATCAGTAAGCATATCGCTCTTATCAATAGCAATTCCGCTTGTAGGCGAATGGACATTATGAAATTGAGTTTGTTGCCAAAATGATGCATCATCTGAATGACTCAGGGATTACAATAAACAGACCACATGCACCAGTTAGTACTTACTACTGCTATTAACTTTTAAGTTACATCTCTATCAGATCATTGCTATTTAAGCTTATCAACTAATCAAAAAATGTTGGATCACTAGTTACACCTAAATAATTCAATTTAAATCCGAACAATTTATCCTCTCTTTGAATGTGATTGAGTCTTCGTCAGTTATATAAACAGACGACTTTTCCCTCACTGATGAGAAACACTATAGAGCGGTTGGAAGCGATCAACAGAAATGACTAACTGTATGATCTCTGCTAATTGAACTGAGGAGTGAAAGAGGTAAACAACGACAAACTGCAAACAACAGAAGGGCGTTTGAGAAATCGTGATAAACAGTACAAAGTAAAGGAGGAAGATAGAGAAGTATCGCTGGAAACAATGAAGACGTAAGATTCCATAGTGACAGGCATGACAGTAGACCAGTAGATCCTATTTCTAATTAAGATAGATTAAAGAGGAGAAGAGCTGTTCATCATGTGACTCTCTATGTAGTGGATGGATAGTTTTACATTCCAGTTTGATCTACCTGTGTTATCTCACATAATCGTCATATTAACTCAATTTTTGATATGAAACTGAACATTTCGTTTGATTGCAGTTAGACTAGATCTAGTTATCAGATTCCTTAGTACATTAAAAAAATAATAGAAGAATGATTTTGTCAGCTGTTAATTGAAAGTTCCACTGCAATACTTCGATAAACTAATCTGTATCCTTGACAGGTGCAACAAAATCGATGAAGAATATGAACCATAACAACTCCTGAGTGGTCCATCGGAACGTTGTTCCACCTCATTCCTTCCATCTCATCATCACCCACCTGGTTTTCTCAATCCATTATTTATTTGTTTACTCATTCCTATAACTTATTTCCTTGCTTCCTGTGATATGTGAAAAATATGTCGGAAATCGCATTTTAAAATATTTGCTACCATTAATCTTGCCGTTACAGGCATGAATGGTTTAAAGGTGAAAACAGAGGGAAGAATTTCTCAACCTTTCTTTCTTCCTAGAGAAAAAGGAGAGAGAGAGAGAGGAAGAATAAATGAATGAAAGCCTATGTTTCAGTGACTATTGGCAATGTTTAGAAACTAAGCATAGAAAAAGTAAGCATGTTGGATCTGTAGAATTGATGCAACTTGCAACGTATTTCACTTCTTGATTTTAACTTTTTCAGTTCATGCTCCACGAAATGATTTACATCGCTTATTGTTGCAGCTAACTAACTGAGAAAAACATAAACTTTTTGAGAACATAAACACTTCATTTTCGAAAAAATTCCCAGAGAGATGATAGAAAGTGAAGTTATTTTACTTTTTTGTTTGAGAGATTTCGCGAAATAGTTTCCTCAATTTCATTTATTTTTGGCTTATTTAACAAGCTGACATCATATCAGGCTGTCATTCTGGTTTTTTTGCAGATAACGCTGTTATCCGGGCTCATTTGCAAACCACGCTGTTATTATTCGGATGTGCAATAGGCTCCCTTTTTCTTCTCAGAACCTTTGGTCTTATGCATTATAGTCCTTGTATAGCTTTAATCGAAATATTAAAATATTACACAATCGAAGTTTTTCCACTAATATTCCTTGTGTTCTCAGGTTCTGTTTATTTCTTGGAGACTGCTAGAAAGAATTCCATGAAAAGAGAAGTGAAAAATTTCTGAATAGAAAAACTGAAACTTTACATAATCTTTTAGATTGGGCATTCTTATCGATGCAAAAGCAGGAAGAAACTGATTATGTTACACAGCCTGAATTAAATAGTTGAAAGTATATAACACTCATTTATCAGCGTGTGCCTTACATAATAGTAACTAATCAGTTTTAAGGTTATATTTTGAGGGGTTTTCAATATTGTAATCAGAACTAATCAACATTCCTGGAAAATTATCCAGTTTTTCTCATGAGAACTAATGTTTTCTCTTTCAATTGAATTTCATATCTTCCATTTTATGCTTTATTGCTATTACTTACCAGTTTTAATCAATAGTAATAATTATTATTATTGTATGTGAATTTATTCTTCCTTGGTTACTTTGCAAGGTGTTTTTTATTGAGATCAATAAGTAGTCAATATCGGATGGATAACTTCTCCATTGGATAAGTTCCTTTACATAGATCTTTTTCTAGAACGCATTGTTTATTGGTTATCATGCTCATATTTGACTTAACTTCTTACCAATACAGGTAGATTACCATTTATTGCTATTATTTATTATTATTAATTATTATTTATTTATTTATTACATTTATTTATACATTAGTTTATTATTTTTGATTTGTTTTGCATTATACATATATTCATATCAATTTAAATTTTTCGAATTCAATCAAGCTGATAGGCTGAATTAAATAATTTGGATCAAATTAGATCAAATTCGGCTGAATTTAGTGAAATAGATCCAAGCAGATTGATTCGAAGTCCATACAAATTGATTTGAAAGAGATCTAAATAGATGATAGATTAATTCGACATTTTCAACTGTAGAAAGTACTTTTTTTGAGGCTGCATGGATGCAAGAGCAGCTATTAATAAGAAAACAAATGGATTGCTTCGATCTGCATTACGTTTTTCTGAAAAAACAAATCTCACTGATGCAATGTTAAACAACTGTTGATTCCTTGATTCATTTCATTCATTTTTTCCCTTTCTTGAAAGACTTTTAATTTCGATTTCGAACCAAAATCATCATACAATCAATTAATATGTTTTAAATATATAATCATTTATTTATACTGTCATCAGCTACGAAAATGACTGCAAGATAGTGATAATAAGAATGATAATGCCATTGACACTACAGTGATTTGAATGGAATGATATAGTTTCTTAAAAAAGACCTTTACATTATTCTAATATGAAATATCCATAAAAACTTTCCTTCCTCATTCTTCTTTCATCTTCTATTCATTACAAATAATGGAGATAAGCTAATCAATTCCAGCAATTCTATAACAAAATTATAATAGTGAAATTAATTTCTGCAACTTTTTATTCAGATCTGTTCACCCCCTTTTTAACTTTTTTTTGAAGTTTTTTTTTTTTTTTTGAGAGGATGATTTCTTCTGAGAGGTAATAACTTTCATAATTCCTCAAAGCTATCAGTTTTATATAAATTAAATTTGCGAAAATTCAGTTCATTAGAGAATGGATGCTGGAAGAGTTATTGCTTCTGTAAGTACTTGCAGCCTTTCTGTTTCCAGTTGACATAGGTATTCTCCAGTAGTTGAAAGTGAATTGGGAGTGAAAGATATCATAGCATGCGATAAAGTTTAAAGTCTGCTATCAAAAAACTTTAATTTGTCGTAAAAACTCAAAACAATAAAAGCGGCTATAGATGATAAAGATTTGCTGTAAACAAAGCAAGTGTATAATTGAAAATTATAAAATTAACAAAAGCAAATATCTATGGGGTTTATTATCAAAGTGATACTTTATTTTTTCTTAATCACTGAAAGTGTTGAATTTAGGTTCTACATCCGAAAGTTGGAAGAAGTTACGACCGCAATTAAGTGAAAGTGAACTTGTACACTTTGAAAATTTTCATATATTCGTGCTTTGCACAACTTCGTTTGACAAACGTTTTGATATAGCACAGGATGACAAATTTGAGTTGTGGTGCGAGATGCCTTAAATTTTGCCTTTTCGTCTTTAATTTGATTTTTTTGGTAATTTTTTAATATTTTGAGTATTTGGTTGCAAGTATTTGGTTATTTGGTTTTTAGTTTTCTTGGGACCTTACTATATAAATCAATTTAGGTTATCAGTCATTTGCTTCATATTGATAAGAAGATATCTCACCTACCGAAAATATTTGCAGCTATGTGGTTTGGTGTGTGTTGGTATCGGTACATGGTTGGTGCTGGATCGATATGCAGTGGATAGCTTAGCAATTGCTAGTGAAAAAGTTCAAGTTACCGATGATGGATTGCGAGAATTGGTGTATATTTATTCGATCATATAATGATTTAAATTCAGTTTAACATTCTCCGAATATAGAATTTCAATAATTAAGATTTGCTAAACCATGATCCTGACTTCTTCACTTATTTCTTGAGATGTGAACTTTTCCGTACCCAGCATACGACGCGTAGAACGAAAAAGGAAATAGTAAAAAAGAAGAAAGATTGGATTAAGTGTTAAATTTATCTTAACGTTATTTTTCCTAAATATAAATTTTATGCTAATAAGAGTATTTGAAAGTTCTGATCTGATTTCTAATTGTTAGATAAAATTTGATAAAATTTGAGCAGCAATGCTAAACTCATACATTACTGTTCATATAATGGTTCAAATTCAGTTTAATAATTCATCTTCGATATAGAATTTGAATATTTAAGATTATAGAAATTATAATTAAAGGCATCGAAGCCAGCAGCGGTGAGACAAATTGGATTTCTATTGATTATTGGCGGTATAATTGTCATCGTTGTGTCGTTTATGGGGTGTTGTGGAGCAGCCAAGGAATGGCGTCTCCTTTTGTGCTGTGTAAGTTACCATTGTCTTGGTCAATTTGCATATTCACTATTCAGTATTATATTTTGAAGCGAATCAGTAAATAACAGTGTTGCTGTTTACTGCATGGAATCAGAGTAGGTAGGGATGATGCATCGATTCAAGAAGTTTATCGTAAAATCGATCATTCCATTGTATATCAGTTCAAAACTTTAAAAAATACTGTATAATGAGAGAAACTTGAAACAAAGAGATTAGAATTTCGTTCAACTGACTGAAGTACCTTCTGTCCCTGCTTGATCCAGCCAAAAAGACATAGTCAAGAAGTTCTGACAGTCGCTGTTTGAAGTCTCCGCTAGCTGTATTATGTAACTGACTGTTTAACCAGCTGAGATTGTTAACTCAGTTTGCTGCCAAAAATTCAATAAATTAATAATTTAAAAAACAAAAAACAATACTACAGAGCAAAGAAGAGGAAATCAACAGAAAAAAAAGAGATAATTTTTATTTTTATGGCTGGAAGATATAAAATACAAAAGCCTAAGAACTACCATCTTCCTCAAATGTCACGATTATCGTCGCTAGAGCAGCTTTTTTTACAGTATGCAACATGTCTGATGGTTATACTGGCAACGCAGATAGCTGCTGCAATATATGCTGTCATGCACAGTCATATGGTAGGTGTTCCTCTTGTATTGTCGGGTGGAGTCTTTAATACAAAATTCTTTACTCCTTGCTCCCTTCCATGCAGTCATCTCCTCTTAATCTATCCTAGTGTATTGCTTCATCTGTTTCATTAATGAGCTACAGTTCGCACAAGATTTTCGACAAATTTTGAAAGCGTCACTAAAATTGTATAACGGAACCGATACTGCAAGCAGAATGTCCGATGATACAGTGCTCATGAAAGCTGCATGGGATAAAATCATGATCGAGGTAAGTTTGACAATGACAAAAGTGTGTTAATTGAATGTTATGTCACTTCATATTTACTGTCGGAGCTGTTAAACTCGCGTCCAGATAACAACAGTTCCAACTTTTTTGCTGATCTTCTAATGATAATGAAATCTCTTATTTATCATGTGTAAAAATGATTTACAGAAGTCTTGTTGTGGTGTAGATTCGAAAATTGGTGATTTCAACGAAAGCGGTTGGTATCAGTTAACCGGTAGAAGACACCATTTTCCGCCGGCTTGTTGTCCACCAAACAAGGATGGAAGTTTGATGGAATTTTGTCCTACAATAGCCAGATATGGTGATGTCAGTAGTCATTTTTTTCTGTTCAGTTTTATTTAAAATTATTTAAAATTCTGCTTTGTGAAATCGGACTTTCGATCTTTTACTTGCATTCAATTATGTAATATAATATTCAACACAGAAACTTACTAGTGCAGAGAGAGAGAAAGAGAGTTGGACGATTTCTGAGGAAACATGAAAATTAACATCTATCACTTGCATTCAACTTTCCTGCCAAAATTCACTCTATTTTTTATACTGAATGATTGCAGCGATGATTTCCTTCTATTTGCATCGTTGTTTCATTGTAGGGTTGCTATGATAAAATCAGAGATTCTGTGCAAGCCTTATCGACTCACTTCAAGATCGTTGCGTGGACTGTAATCAGTATTGCATTAATACAGGTAAACTTAACATTCAGTAACACCATTTGACTTAATTAGAAATGATTGTTATAGAAGATATTACTGACATCTATTCCCAACTTTATTTTTCTTTTTATAAATATTTTTAATAAACTTTTGCATGGGGAGAAATATGTCCTGAAATATGCTATTAACTGATCAGATTATGAAAATGAATATTTTTTAATATATGTTTTTTAATAATTGGAGCTCACTGAGCATCACAAAGCAATGAATGGTAGCAAAAGTTTTTTTCTAGATATTCGGCATAACAGTGGCATTTTGCTTATGCAACGCTATTGGTGAAGATGAGTACTATTGATATGTATTATATGATAGTTTGATATCTGTTGCTTTTGCTTTGAAATTTAATAGCTTTTGAATGTTGTATTTTTCCATGCCTTGAAAATTATACTTCAGCTGCTCAATTTTATAACGACGGATAGTTTTAATTTCCTTCCATTAAAATAATGTGCTTCAAAATTTTAGTCTTTAGCGTGTATTTCTGACACTGATTTTTTAGATGAACTTTGGAATTGGATTTTCTTACATTTTGGAACCACTGCAATGTGAAATCATATTTTTGATGCTTTTATTTACGCTTCGTTTATTAAAATTATCATTAGGAAGTGGATCACAAGTGTAACAAAATCCAATTCAAAATGTTTTATA